CAAGACCTGGCGCGATCCAAGCGGGATCCAAGCTCGGTTGGCCTGACGGATCGGTGAATTCAACCGCTAAAATAGTGGTTCTGTATGCTAAAATATTGGATAAACTGATATGACTGTCAATGACACTAGTCATATCAACTATATATATATATATATCAGTTAGTTCTGTATATATTAACTTAGATATATCAACTGATAGTTCTGTATGCTTATATTGGATAGTCATGGTTCAACCGCTTATATGGGATATATATATATAACTGATATGACTGTCAATGACTTGAGTAAGTAACAGATTCATACTAACAATGGTGATTCAACCCTAAACCAACTTGGCTATCATCAAAAATCACCTGCATATCAACTACAAATAACCATAAAATCGATGCGTAAATAGTAAATCCTCATGTTTTTTCCAGTTAAATCATCTTAGATCTCCAATTTCCCAAGGATTTCAAGCAACGTTTTGCCAAGAACGGGGGTCTCCACTTCCGCTGTGCCTCGCCGCCAGGGATGCGATCTTTGGAGTAGCCACCTTGCGCCTGGAGTACCCCGGGTCAACCCTAAGCCTTTGCCAAGTTGGTCTCACCTTAGAACATTGGTGATTTTAGCCATGAAGAAATTGAAGAAATTGAGAATTTTATCGATTTATGATAGCTAAGTTTGACCTATTTCGCTAGTGTATCTATATAAGTATATATCATATTTTATAACTATAATAACTGCACTGTACTGTAGCTGTTGGAGGTTATAAACTAAACCAACAAACATACTTGGTGTCACCACATTGTAATAGAAACGCGATGGGTTTGAAGGATGGGTACTTGCTGAGTATATGATCACCTGGACGTTTATTGGGCAACACACCAGAACAAAATTAAAACAACATGCGAATAAAGGTGTGAAAAGTCTCACTTTTGTTGACTGCATGAACAACATGGCATGCAAAATCATGCAAACATGCAGGATAGAGACCTGAACAAACACCCAAAGCCACCATGCACAGGTCCATCCGTAGCAACCAAGGGTTGATTGTAACATTTGTTCGATGGCTATTGACTCCTGGAAGTAGATCTGTTTGTGACATGCACCAGAAATCCTGACTGACTTAACCTCTGGTAATTTAACATAGCTATTGAAAATGGCCATTTATAGTGGATTTACCCATTAAAAATGGTGATTTTCCATAGTTATGTTAGTTTACCAGAGGGTAAATCTAAATTCTTGGCCGTTCCAATATTCTCATTGAATCGATTGATTTCAGCAACACTCTGCAAGAATACATGGGTCTTACGATGCTTTAAAAAGAAAATATGTCCCTGAAAACATGTCCCATCATCCAATATTGGGACCCATAGATTGCCCGCTCCAACTCATCCAACTCCACCTTTTTTTCATTGTGCTCACCTGAAACCTGCTATTTTTTGGATAGAAACTGCTACCCATCATCCATAAACATACAAAAAACTATGGAAAATCATCATTTTTAATGGATAAATCCACTATTTCAACTGGGCCATGTTCAATAGCAAACTGTTGACATAACCAGGCCGGCTACGTCAGTCATCCATGGTCAGGTCTTTTAGGTCGACTTGTTGTTACTGTAGCTGAAACTGTAGCTATAAAACTATAGCCCTTAGACTATCTTTAGCGAGGGTTTTACAAAGTTGGATTTTACTACTACTAAATCAACAATTTTATCTTGATGACAGCTTGAGGTTGGATCAAAACAACTTGAGTTGGGACCTCCCCTTGGAGGTTCTTGCACTGCCACGAGCCAGAAACAAATCTCGAAAAGATATCACTTACCCTCTGTTAATCAAACATGGCAATGGAAAATCTATCATTTCAAGTCGATGTTCCAATCAATGCCATATTTATATGGGGTGATTTCCACGGATTTCCCATTGCTATGCTTCATGACCATAGATCCATCTTTTCTGCTGGTTTCTGCCTCAAAAAATCCCCCGATTCTCGTCCGCACTTTCCGACCTCTGTGGCTTCCTTCAGCCCCGTAATGACCCACCTTGGACTTCCCCAGGGATCACTGCTCCTTTGGGGAGTTACACATCGCCAAAACATCAAACGAATACCCGGCCTGGTTATGTCAACAGTTCGCTATTGAAAATGACCCAGTCGAAATAGTGGATATATAGTGGATTTACCCAGCTAGAAAACGGGTGGATTTTCCGTATAGTTATGTTGGTTTATAGTTATGTTTTTCCAGATAGTTTTGACGAATCAAATGCATCTGGATTTTCTAGCTAGAAAATGGCTGGATTTTCCATATAGTTGTTTGATGTTAGTTCGTTTATCAGAGACTTTCCATAGCCGAAAGATTTCCATCCCAGGCGTTCGCCCGAAAAATCGCAGCTCACCGGTGACCCCAGTGGCCACCGTTGTGCCGTAATGCTGAGGGAACTCGCCCCCAGTTGGTGAATCACCTGGTAAACTAACCTATAGCTATTGAAAATGGCCCAGTTGAAATAGTGGATTTACTCATTAAAAATGGGTGGATTTTCCATAGTTATGTTAAATTACCGGAGGGTAAATCCCCTGTTAGACCCATGGTTTCCGGGGAATGTTTGAGTAAATCAGGAGGGAATTATATCCCCATGATGAATCCCATTACAATCCCAAGATAATCCCACTGTAATACCATTATATTGTACCCTTTTGTGCCCCACTATAATCCCACTAATCTATATAATCCCATTGTAACCCTAGAATTATATATCATAATCCCATTACAATCCCACTACCCTCTGGTAATTTGACATAGCTATTGAAAATGGCCATAGAAATAGATGATTTACCTGTTGAAGATGGTGATTTTCCATAGTTTTTTGTATGTTTACCAGATGGTAAATATGGTTTGAATTGGAACATCAACTTGAAGTGATAGATTTTCCATTGCCAGATTGGTAAATCACTATAAATGACCATTTTCAATAGCTTTTTGTATGTTTACCAGATGGCCATGTTCAATAGCTTTTCAATAGCTGTTGTGCCCCACTATAATCCCACTAACCTCATTAATCCCATTATAACCCCAGAATTATATATCAATTATATCATAATCCCATTACAATCCCAATAAATCCCTCTGGTTATTTAACATAGCCATGGAAAATCACCATTTTTAATGGGAAAATCCACTATAAATGGCCATTTTCAATAGCTTTTTGTATGTTTACTAGATGGTAAATCCCTTACAAATTTCATAGTGAACCCATCCAAGTATAAAGGCCCCCACACCCTGCCCCTCGCCACGCGGCTCTTGCATCTTCCGCCGCGGTTTCGGCACCGCGCGCCGCGGCACAGGCGCCGCACGCCACGCCATGTCTTACCATTTTGGCACGGCAAACGTCACCGAGGTAAACTCTGTGCAAAAGTACAATGTGGGGCCCCCTAGTTATAAGTTGGTTTATAGCCCCATCTAACTATGGTTATAAGTACCATACACCCTAGTTATTGTAGTTATAAACCAACTTAGCTATCTTGGGGGCCTCACATTGTAGGGATGAAAACATACTCATATGCTCCATGGTGCTGGAATATTTACCAACATTTGCCGCATTTGCCCTAAAAATCACCCAAATGTACTTAAATATACCATACATGGAGCATCTGGGATATGAAATTTCATAGCTACCCAAAGAATCCAACCCGAGTACCGATCATTTTGTTGAAGTTGGTAAAGAGCCCCATGGCATCATGGTTCATAATCACAAAAAAGTGTGCATTGTACATACCCAATGTTTAGCTCTCGATGTGTCTGCTCGCAAGACCCTGGCTGCAGTCCTGACCCAGGTGATGGTTGACAAGGCTCAGGAATAAGTCTCACCTCTGAGGTCATACTAAGGCGTGATGAACCACTAATCACACTTCCAGAAAAGGCTTGGCTAAGTCCACTTACACCTTACGAGTTTGAGCCCCACAAGTTTGGCTGCAGTCATTCGATTGTCTCTGTGATAACCAATCTTTATCCTGAAAAAAGTAGGCTTCTTGAGCTGTTTGGTAATGGGGTGTAATGTGGTTAAAACAATGTCATAAACCACGGATATTTTGATGGTTTATAGTTTATAGCACCTATTTAAATGGTGATTTGGGGGATGGTTTCTTATTGTGTTACCCACATTAATGGGCAATCCCCTTTAATGGGAAAATGACATAAATGATGGATTCTTCAGCAAGCCATGTTTGATTACCATACGGTATGCCCATTTATGGCGCACAAGATCGAAGACAGTCCATACCCAAGCTTTACCCAAACAGAATACACCCCGTTCATCCCCTGCCACAAGTTTGACGTTGAGTGATGTTGAGTGGGGCGTCAGTCGTATTCTTAGCCCCACAGAAGTTACAACATCTATTTTCATGTGGTTGGAAAACTCTTAGTCTTAGTAGCTCCTTGGCTCATTTCACTGGGAATATGCCGACTATAGCCCTTCGCTATAGTGTACGGTGTATGGCTACTGTACTGACCATCGCTCCAACTGCACATACTCATCTTCCACTTGTGAGAGCGACTTAGACAACTGCCTATAACGGCTGGATGGGGCAGGACGAATCTCAGATACCCTCTGGTTATGTCAAAATAACTATGGAAAATCACCATAGAAATAGTGAATTTTCCCATGAAAAATGATGATTTTCCATAGTTATGTTGAATTACCAGAGGGTACCGGTACCTTCTCCAAAAGAGTGAATTTTGGCTGGTTGGTCTCTCTTTATCGCACCCATCGTCGGAAAATCACCCAATCTGGACCCAATAGCACATGGTTGGCTTTTCAAGGGGCCCCATACCCAATGATGATTGAATGGGCAAAAACGATGGGACATCCATGTGAGCAAATTATGACCATTCCTGACGTCTAAACAAGTTTTTTTTGATTGCACCGACTCACCATCATGTATAGCCAGCATTCTCCCAAAAAGATCCAAAAAGGATAGTAATAGAAAACAATAATCCGAATCTAAAAGGTGCAGCACATTTTCTCCAGTGGCCAACGGCGCAATCACCACCAACCTCCGGGCATGCGGTGCAAGAAGTCTCCAATGGGGGGGTTGTTCCATTTAACCCCACTGACTACGCAGTTTACAAAGGAACCCACCTACTTATGATCTACACAACTGGCTCGTGACCATATCACCCATATCAGGTGTCAAGTGGGGTGTAAGCCAACAAAAAGTGCCCATGTCATGCTGTTTTCAGTAAGAATATCATCTTCCAAAGCCCATTCTTCAGCTGGAGTTCAGCTTGCTTTTCAGCGGCTTCAGGATGGATGAATCCTAGTGAAGTTGAGCAACAAAGAGGAGGAAATGGCCCCATTTCAAGGAAAACAACCAATGAACATGAGCCTCACCAGAAAGTCTAAAATTATGTGTGTGTGTGCGCTCCAAAATGGAAGACACTTTCAATTAATCGATAAAATTGTACGGTAGATAAATGTAGATAATCTTAAAATATCTTAAACATGTGAATAAATGATAAAATAGGTACTTAACCCTTTTGATGGCAAACATTTCACTCATCAACCTACCATTCAACCGCTTCAACAAGCTCTACCCTATCGCTTCGGCAACAAACCGAGCCTCTGTCCTCGCCACATTAGCCACCCCTAAGGAGCAGAGATAGGGGGAACTCAAGCCCTTGTGGTTCCCTTAAATATCTATTCCCCGAGCAATCCCGGGAAAAAAGGAAAAGTAAATCCTCATCGAAAACCGCAGGGAATGAGAATATAGGTAGAAACTGTTCTTTCCGGTCTTCACCTCCAAACAAAACCACCAAGAAACGCATGAATCTGGCAGAGTTAACCAAATTTAACCACTTCCACGGGTACATCGTATCTTCCGGACCAATATCTGTTCCATGTTGGATTTCAGTTTGGGTAGGGCGAAGGGTAAACACCATGAAAAATAGCAGTGGAATAATAGTCCTCACAACCAAACCATGAAACTGGGAAGCTTACACCACCAAAAACACGGGAGAATCAGCCATTATAGAAGGAGGGGGGAAGGAGGAGAAGGTGGACACTACATGATAGCTACATATGCTTTGGATATAGCCCGCGCCCACTCACAGTAGCTAGTTTCTGTTCAGAACATTTCAGAACTGTTTTTGTTTTCCCTCCATGCGTGGCAAATAAAAACATGCCAACTAAACCATGAAAACCCAATGAAACCATGAAACATGAATTACGGTTTAACTGGAAAACACTTCAATTAAACTGGAAAGCCCAATTGAACATTAACATCATATAGTGGGTTTTCCCACGATAGATCCAAAAAGTTCCTGGTTGAAGTCCATCTTTCACGGCAAAACATCTGCATCTTTGCTGAAATCGCTATATCCTGGTGGGAAAAAATCCTGGTTGGTGGTTTACCTACCCCCCTGAAAAATATGAGTTCGTCAGTTGGGAGTATGACATTCCCAATTAATATGGAAAGTCATAAAACATGTTCCAAACCACCAACCAGAAGCACATGACATCACCATTTCTCTTGGCTCACCGGAGCCTCCAGAGATGGAGATTTCTGACTGGAAAACTCCTGGAACTTTCGGAACTTTCGGGATCTTCCATTGCCATGTTTGATGCTGTTGATTTCCAGAGGTGAAATTCAACTAATATCCACTTTTGTTGGTGAAATGGTCCAAATTTAAATAGTCACATTTAGACACATATCCACTTTTTTCTTGGTTAAACTGTCAAAAATTTTAAAGTCACGTTTAGACTAATATCCATGTTTTTCTTGGTGAAATGGTCAAATTCTTAATTATTAGTCATTCAACTAACATCCACTTTTTCTTGGTTAACAATTTTTAGTCACCATAAATTCCACGGGAATTCCCATGAAACAACCAGCGATGACCAGTTTTTTTTGGGCCTTCAGGGGCCTCCAGCAGCCAGCTGAGACTCCCAACAGATCGATGGGGATGGGCGTGCGCTTCTTCACTGCTTCTTTGAACATGTCCTGGCGGAGAGGAAGCGACAACCAGACGTCAAGCTGGATCTATGTTTGCATCTCTATGTATCTACCTATCTGTCTCTATCCGTCAATCTGTATCTGTATCTATAGATGCAACTGTATCTGTAGTCTATATTGATACCTAGAGAGAGAGAGAGAGAGAGTTGAAAACCAATAATCCCAGCCCCCCATGTAGTCAGACCAATGAGTAGATTTCTATTATAGACGGTGTTGGGTGGGTGGGGTTAGTCATACCGGGAGCAAGACAGAACTATAGGAGGGAAAAAAGGTGAAGGTCAACTGGTCTGGCTTGTTACATCCCAACAAAGAGACTCCGCATTCGTCAACCTGATTTCATGATCTTAAGGTCATGTCTTGCATCATTTCTGGGGCTTGACCACGAAGCCAAATAGTTCAAACATGTCCAAGTATAAGTAACATGGAGAACATCAGAAAATATTGCAAATTATGGATGGTTTGGTTTTACATCTCCAGAGATTCTGGTGAGAATCACAACAGGTCATCAGACCTTTCTTCTTTGAGAAGCTCAGAAACATGACATGCAACAAGCCGTGTGAAAAATCCTTCACATGAGAGAATTCTAAACGGGACTCCATGTCAAGTGCCGCTATCATGGCAGAACCTGTTTCAAAACACCAACCAAAGATGCATGTGCTAGCTTCAAGCGCCACCATACTTACTGCAATTTTCAGCCAGGGATGCGTGTGCTTCTGTCCAAGCTTTCTTGAACCTTGGAATCAGACATGTCGAGCTCTGTGCATGAGTGAATTGTGGTCAAACATGTCTCCCTCCAAACTCAGGGCGTAAGATTACCCTCTGGTAAACTAACATAACTATGGAAAAATCACAATTTACACGGGCTAAATCCACTATAAATGGCCATATTCAATAGCTATGTTAAATTACCAGAGGGTACCTCCTGAAAAGTAAAACAATGAGAAATCAGAAGCCTTAAACCAGTATAACGCATGGCAAAGAGGACTTGAAATAAAACTACCGCTATGATGAGAAAACGATGCATACCTCTCATTGTGTCGTACAAGGACGTCCAACATTGGATGTGAAAAGTTAAAGTTCGCAGCTCTTCAACAACCTTGGTTAGGAAGTCCCTACAATGTGGGACCACCCAATTGTGTTTGTTGGTTTATAACCCCACTTGACTACTTCGATATATCGCCCAGAAACTCGTTATTTTCTCCAGCTTCGCAATCTTGCGGGCCCTACATTGCAGGGGCCCTGTTCTTAGCCAATGACGAACTTTTGATGCACTTCCGAGCAGCGAAGGGCGGTAAACTCTTCACATCACTCAACTTGCGTTTTCAAATCATGTACCCTCTGCTACTATGGAAAATCACTATGTTTGACCGGTAAATCGACAAACTAAATGGGCCATGGTTTGCATAGCAAGCTGTTAAATTACCAAAAAGGGCGGTTGTGAAGCCCATCAAGTTTGCTTGGAATCAGGGCACTGACCAAGCATGAGCCAGCTCTGCAAATTGCATATTTCACAGTACAAGTCCACTTTGTGTGGAGAATGAGGGAGAATCCCTGAACACCCACAAAAACCAACACAGACTTCGAATACCTTCCGGTAATCAAACATGGCACTCGAAAATCCACCATTTATCAATGATTTTACAAACCAAAAAACATTTGTGTAGAGAATTTTGAATTGCCATGCTTAATTAACCGGAGGGTATATCATGGTATATCCTTTTTCCTCCGTTTCATGTTTAGATTGATGACCAACATCAAGGGGCTGGAGCAATCCAAGTTCAGGTTGAGATTCCGGCTGCATAAACCATGGGACATCATGGGAGTCAGCCGAGTCCAAGCCCAAAATTTGAGTGGACAATTTAAGGGAAAACCATGGAAAACCCCTAAAATCATCTAAAATCTATTAGCCCTGAAATCAATCCATGGACCAGGATCCAACTAAATTTAAAGTTTCCTGAAAATTTCAATTCCAACATAGTCCGAAGAAATTCTCCATTAAACATTGAAAATCAAATAAGCAATGAAATTTCATGGTGATAAACAATGGAACCGATTGATTGGAGGTACCTACCATATATAAGGCCCATTTTTTAGGCCTATGTAAGGGAATATCCCAGCAAAATATGGCCAGAAATATGGTACGTTTACGTACCTCCATCAATTGGATCCTGGAGATCTCCCAATGATCCAACTTGGATCCCAAACTCATCGCTCTTGCCGCGGTCTCGTTTCCGGCCCTGGAAGCTTTCAGTCAGATTTGACCCAAGAAATTGGGCGAAGCTTCATGTCTTGGGCCTTGGGTACATTCGCATAGAATCACATAGAAAATACGTAAAAATGTGGACAAATACATGCCAAATCATGAGCCATTTAGCCTCCAAACACCTTCTGAGATCGTATCTGGAGCTGGTTCTTGGGGTTCAAACACCTTCTGTGACGGTACTTGGAGCACTGGGTGAGGGCGGTATTTTGATTCATTTCCATCCATTCTTCCATATAACAAATAGGAGGTTAGGCGACCAAGCCGAGATAGATCAACCGCTGGCTGGCTGAACCAACTATCCCAAAAGGTTTTTTTGCATATAGAAGCCATTGGGCTTGATGATCTGAATGTGATGGAAAAAATCAATAAATGAAATCACCATACATTTTCAGGGACAAGTCCCAAAGAGAACTGAACCACCTCACCAATAAATGTAATCCATCATTTGCATCAAATCAGCGCAAGAAATTGAACATTGAACAAACTGCACATGTTTAACATATGGAAATTATTGGGACACCTAAAGACATAATTGTTAACTCCCAGAATTCTTCCTGGAACATCTGCAGGAGCCGCCTTATTTTGATAGGACAAACCGTAGTTTTGCGTAGGAAGTGTCGACTGGAACCGTTTGGCCTAGTGAAAAGTACCCTCTGGTAAACATACAAAAAACTATGGAAAATCACCATTTTCAGTGGGTAAATCCACTATTTCTATGACCATTTTCAATAGCTTTTTGTTAACAAATTACCAGAGGGTAAAAGCTCTGATAATGGTAATTTGCATTGTTATTTTCCCAATGTTGCTAATTACCAGAGGGTAATGCATTGTAAATGACCATTTTCAATTGCATTCTGCATTTTGGGACAATTCAGCCAAATCCATTTCAATGACCCACACATTCCACGCATTCCGTGACTCGGTTTCAGCAGTCGATCCGCTACAGTAAGCCCTTGTCAGAGCTGACAGAAATATACCCGGCCTGGTAAACGTTGACATAACTGTGGAAAATCATCATGCTATTAATGGGTAAATCAACTATTTCTATGGCCATATTCAATAGCTTTTTGTATGTTTACCAGAGCGTAAATCACCATCCATCCATCCATCCATCCATCCATCCATCCATCCATCCATCCATCCATCCATCCACCCATCCATCCATCCATCCATCCATCCATCCATCCCTCCTCACTCCACTTGACTTGGGTTTTTTCGCCTCGAGGTCCTTGACGTCGATGGCAGCTTCGCCCTTCAAAACGCGACTCCACCACACCTGCGATCTCTAGATGGGTTGTTACAAACCAGTGGATGACAGTAATTGCTGGTTGGTGGTTTTAACCATCTTGAAAAATATTAGTCAATGGGAAGAACAATCATCCCATATATTATGGAAAATAAACAAATGTTTGAAACCACCAACCAGATTAACTAATGGCTATAATATGTCCATATATAGTGGATTATAAGTTGGTTTATAATGTGTATAAAACCACAGGTTTTAAGAAGATAAATCACCGGGGCCTATGGTATATCTGTAGTTAGATGGGTTTATAGACCAACTTATAGCAAGCCTTGTTAAACATACTTAGATATGGGATATCTACTGTTATACATGAGGTCTATGTGAGGTCTATGTGGGGGACTATCCCCCCTTGGTGCGCTTGGGAAGGCCTTTGATGCGATAGTACCTGAACCTGGTGCCTGCATGGTTTCAGACTGTTCTCCTTGTTGGCGTTTGCTGCTGCTCGCCTCTGGTAATTCAACACAACCGTGGAAAACGGACCATTTAGTTCGATGATTTAAATATTCAGCATGGTGTTTTTTCCCCATAGCTATCTTAAATGACCGGAGGGTAATTGGTTCGCATCGCAAAGGGTTGTCTTGTAAAACCACCTATGCACCCAGCATCAATGGCCAGAACTCCGGCCAAAAAATATCTCGGCTTAGGAGGTCTGTTGCTTTCATTTCATTTCATTTCACCATGTTTCAACCCATGTTTCAGTCCATTCCCTAGCTCGATATATTTGCCATAGACCCTAAATGACCCTAGTACAACTATATAGTTATCAACCAACTTAGCTAAGGATTCGCGGCACCACTTTGCTCAGAATTTCTATGTTTCATCTTTAAGAGGCTTAATTATGGATTAATCACCATTAAATCACCATTTTCCTATGGTTTTCCTATGGTTTTCCAATGGGTGCCTTGGGGTTTCCAACTGACGCAGGCACCGACTTTCCTCGAGTCTCCCTTCCAAGGCTCCCGGCCGAGACGCTGAAGCCTCCGGGCAGCGGAGCCTCGGCGGCTTCAGCGCTTGCTGATGGCGAGAAAGCTCAGCCGATGGAGAGCATAAATGGAATGTTATATTAATGGATTATTAATGGAATATTAATATAATAGTGTGGAATATAGTAATTCCATTAATATATGAATGGACTATTAATATGAATGGACTATAAATGGATAATTGGTGGAATATGAATGGACTATTAATGGAATATGATGTTAATGGATGTTAGTGGAATATGATGTTAATGGAATATGAAAGGGATTAATAATGATTATAATGGGATAATCGGATGATAATGGAACGATAATGGGATGATAATGGGATGATAGTGGGATATAAATGGCTGATTTGAAAACAATAAACGGTTTGAACAAAAAATACCTGTAGGCGCTAACATGTTCATATCTGGTTGGTGATTAATTGATGCTTGATTGCTCTGTTTGTGTGGCTGTGTGTTTGTTGTTGTTGTTGTTGTGGTTGTGGTTGTTGTTGTTGTTGTGGTTGTTGTGGTTGTTGTGGTTGTTGTGGTTGTTGTGGTTGTTGTTGTTGTTGTTGTTGCTACTTTAAATCAATAAAATCAATGGGGATAGATAGGGGGTTTGCCTATGAAGTTCTGACCTGATAATAGGGGTTCTTGAGTAGGTTGCCTTCATTGGTGGATATAATGTATATAATTACAATTAACATTATAGATATATATATATATATTATGTGATGCCTTTAAAGTCATGGAACATCACCATTTCTGGCAGTTGGATGCAGCAAAGGAGTGCTGAATCACTTCTGACCAACCTTGGATGCCCTGTTTCTTTTTGATTTGGTTGGGTTAGGTTGATATACCACCATCAAAATTCCAAGAAATTAAAGTACCAAAACACCCAGCCCCAGTTGGTTTACCCCTAAGTGCGATGATGAATTCCTCCAGATTTTGCTGCCGAAACCCCCAGGTTCCATGGCGTTTAACCTGTCCCATCCGACCCTGCACCTTGCGAACTGAAAGTCTCAAGACCCGCCGGCCATCACGCAGTTTCAGTTCCCAATCCGGGTCCTGCTCGGAAGTGGGCTGCTCGGGCACTTCCGGCTAGTACCCTCTGGTTGTTTTAAGAGTTTGCTATGGAAGCCATGGCCCATTTAGTTCGATGATTTATGATTCATTTGCCAATTTTAAGAATGGTGATGCTCCATATCTACATTGCGTACATTATATAGGTCACCTTAAAGGGTAAATGGGTTTGTCCAAACCCCAAATCCATTGGTTAATCAGCAGTTTCCCTATTCAAATGGCGACTTGGGGGTACCCACCAAATGGATAAAACAAGTTGTGACAGGATGTGGCAAGAGATGATCTTCACTTCAATATTTCCGGGTTTCCATACCGGGTAAACTAACATAGCTGTGGAAAATCACATTTTTTTAATGGGTAAATCCACTATAAATCACCATTTTCAATAGCTATGTTTGTTCAATAGCTTTTTTTGATGGCATGATCAACGAACTAAATGGGCCATGTTCAATCGCTATGTAGCAAATCACCTAACTCGTTGAAGCTACGTTTGGGGGTTACAATGAGGACATCAGGGCCACCCGGAGGCCAGCATGGGGAAATCACTAAAACCTGGCCTCAGCCAAGTCCCAAACTGTCCTTCCAATGACTATCCTTTTAGAATGAATCTTTCGCAATGTGGCAAACCCCTTATTGCAATTAAAAAACCTCTCAATAATATGACCATAAATGGAAGATGAGAATCATGCCCAAATGGTAAATTCATTATGCGGTTTACCATTATATGATACTATGTTCACCCACGGCAAATGCTAGAAAGTAATAGTGAAATTGGGCTAAGAACCAAAGGTGGAGCCGGCCTTCAGTACAAATCTAGACCTGTCATCTGATCTGGTCTGATCTGGTCTGTGGGCCCTTCATTTGCATAGGTCATTTTTACCTGCACGCTCAAAACATATATATTTAAGATTATTTACTGTAAGTAGATTTACCATCGGACATAATCAAAAACATACGCGTTCAAACAAAAATGCGTCTAAGTTTGCCAAAGTTTCGCAACAAATATTAGTGTACAACGGGGTGGTACTACGGAAATAGAATTGGTGCTAACTAAACATGATGTACGAAACCAATAATGAATATGTTGAAGAGATGCAACATGAACAAATAATGTTGCAAAGGCATCTTGAATGATTGACCCATCAACCAACCAACCAATGATCACCTCATAGTTTGGGTTGATGGATTGGAATTATGGAGATGCCCCTAAATTCCATGTTTTTTTCTCATTTGAACTTGAAGCCCAGATTGGATAATGACCCTCTGCATGGCACTGCATGGCCATCTCTTGACGCTTCCACCGCCGGGTGTCCTCTTCCGGCTCCACCTTGCGGATTGAAACCCAAAACGATGGGATTTTGGAAATCAGTGGTGCGTCACTTTAGGGATTTCACCATGTATTTTTTCGATGATCTCATAGGCTGCTGTGTTACACTTGCCCTGGCATTTCGTGGAGCAACCATTAGAAGTGGGCCTATCACTTCGCAGCGTCCAGTCCAAGCTAAGAACATTGTGGCCAATCTTGACTACCTTGCGCTGTTTAGCTGGCAAAGGATTCATAGCAACCCCCAGTCATAGATAGAACAGTTCGAAACCTGGATAGGGGAAACGTCATCTATATAATGTTGGACATGTGTTTTTTCTATCCTTTCAGGGGGTACTATAAGTAATAAAGTTACTAAACTATCCATCACCAGTTGCTTTGTATATACTTTTGAAAGTGCATGTGCCATCATTTTTTGTTTTAACCCCAATGTTTGACAGTTGACCCATGAATTTCCCATTAAACCCATCATATATCATATATCATATATATTCATATCTGCATGATGACTATACCCCTTCAACTTTAAATCATGATAAACTATCGATCTAATATAAATATTGTACTGTTATGATGGATTTACCAACATATACCTTTACAGCTCATAACCATCATTTATCCATGTTTGATGGAAAAATCATGTTCAATCCGGACCCACCCAGTCGTTTTATCCCCAAAGCGGCGCCTTAAACTCCCAGTCGCCCGAGAATAGAACGACCTTGGCCAGGCTGATTTTCAAAGTGCTCTCGGTGACCAGCACCTCCGAAAAGGAAAAGGCCAGCATTCAACGGCCATTTCAGGATCCTAAATTGGAGGTACCTACCATATATATGGCCTATTTTTTAGGGCTATGTAAGGGGATATACCCCCAGAATATGGCCTTATATGGTACAGTACCTCCATTTTAGGATCTTGGAATGACCATTGAAGCATGGGCCAGGCATCATGGGCGGCAGGGAGATCATGGTGATATGTTTGGCCTTAAGGGATGTTCATGCTTCATGTCATGATAATAATCCAAGATAAAGAATAGATACGATAGTTGATAGTTTCATTTTGAGTGGGGCAAACAGCAGAAAATACTTATATAATCTAAACATCTAGTCTCAAAAACATCTGACAATGAAATCCGAGGAATCGTGTCGATACGGACGGACAACCAAGGTTCGTAGGAAAAAAAATGGCAGTGTTCAAAGCAGCCACAGCCGGACATTGGGCTGAGCGGAGAGACAGCAGGAAAAACCTCTTTAAGAGGGAAAAAAACCTGCCAGTCAGGATACTCTCCTTTAGGGACATCTGACAAGCAACTAGATCTGTAACCCGATCCATTAGGTAACTGGTGAGTAGGTTAGCAGCCATGCTTTAATCCATTCATCTGGGCAAATTGTTATACTTGACTAACTCGAAAACTTCAGCCATTTTGGGAGCCTAAATCCATTCCCATCGTTGCAGTGAAGCGCCATGAGGTCATTATAAAGTCATCCAGATGAAACCCAACAATGTTAAGTCGTGATTCAACTGATAGGCTAAGTAATATTTCATTAATGTTCCATTAACATCAACATCCGACAAACCATCAATATCCCATTAGTGTATGGCTAGTGTATGGTTATGTATGGTTACTTCTTGGTTAATTACTTCATGTTACTTCACCCATATGAGCTACTTGGTTGAACCAGCTCTTAATCCATGACCCTGGCCTCAACATCTTTAGCCTTAGCGTCCTCGGGGACAAAGAGGTTCAGCTCAACCGTCTCCTGGACCACTCAGAAAGTCCCAAAAAAATATGGCAAATTTGGGTTATACCCTCTGGTAAACTAGCAGTTTGCTATTGATAATGCAGTCGAAATAGTTGATTTTCCCATTCAGAATGGTGATTTTTCATCGTTATGTAAACGTTTACCAGAGGCTAAATCAGGTACATGGCCAACGGCACTTTAGTACTTTCATACGTTTTGCTAATAAGGAACTCCTCATACGAACCAACTAAGTTTCTGTTGTTTTAGTATGTTCACCAGAGGATAAATTAGAAACAAACACTACAATTTGGATGCTTGCGAAATCCTGATCCAGTTGGTAGATGGTTGCAAAATTCCACTTTTTGATCCCATGAAATCTACCGTGTTTCATAGCAATCCTAAGAGTTATCAGCTGCTGCAGGATTTTGTCCATCCATAGCATGGCAACAATATGGGATTTAACCAGCAATGATCACCATATTTCACCAATGAAAGCAATGAACATTGGAGGAGTTATGAACAAACACTAGGGCTTCGAGTTGAGTGTGTATACTCGGGTTATTCAAAGTAGCTATGGAAAATTACCATTTTGAACAAGAAAATCATCATAAACCCTCCATAAATGGTCAATTTTTCATAGCCATGGGAAATCACCAGAGAGTAATCATCAAAGATTTAGCAAATGTTGTGAGATGTATCCACCGTCGTTTCACCCAGGGTTGGCCTAGGAATGTCAACTAACCCATTGAATCTTAGCACTGGGAATCCGTGGATTCCAATGGAGAATATATCCACAGAGAGTGGACACACATTGAAAACAAAATGGGCATGATTGGCAAATGGGCTTTACGACCTTGCCGGCCAAACCTTGATGAAATGCAGTTGGATTGTTGGTGATTGGGGTGAGTCCGACAATGGCAGGCAATTTGTTGGTGCAATTCCCTCCCTTTGAGAAAAACACATGATACAATGGCGCCGGGCACACCCCCGGGTTTGCTCGTTTGATTAGTTACATATAGTTTCCTTGTTTAGGGACCATAGCAACTGAAAGTTGAAGATCATTCCCATGAGATGCCAATAATATACATGCATAACTTACATAACATTGTTATTATAACTGGTGTCACTAACATACATGACTATAACCAACACTAACGGTTGGCAACATGTGACATCTAACCAACAATAAGTCTGGGTAAGTTATAGTATTTCACTAACTTGAATTAAGGCCATTTGGGGATGATTTCCCTAACAGAAACCATGATTCCCAGTGAGGTCGAAGTGAGAACCTGTGTTTTTTCCCCTGGGATCCAAGGGCAAATCAGGGCCCTTATGATGTTCATCTCAGACTCCATGGAATTTCCGCCAGCCTATGAGATGCAAAAAAATGTGACCAACCCTACAAATAAAGCGCTTTGAGAGTGTTGTATGACATGTTCTCCCATCTGTATAGATCAACATGATTAACATTTGCTACAACATAGCCATTCACATATAAAACTGGTGCTTTCACAGAAGCATGGCAAGAATAAAGAGCTGGAACCAAGCATGTGACGTAATACGTGGGACACGTCAAATAAGACCAGGTTGCATTCTTCAACAGTATCACCGCACAATACCACGCATTTTTTGATGAATGTTTAATATTCTGAACATAAAACCATATAAAACCCCAAAACGAATTGGTGCCCTGACTGATGCTTAATTCACCAGTGCTCCTTGGTCTGTGACCAGGCATACCTGTCAGGCACCAAACCACCTCGGTGACGCTGCTCGGCATGTGCCCTGCTTGGGGGAGTGGTGGATCTGGAGATTTTATGGTGTTTTTGAGGTCCCCCACAATCTACAAAAACTGCGGTGATTATTAAGGTGATAGCATTGAATGCTTGGATTTAGGTGCTGTTGAACTGAAAACGAACATGGAATACAAGATCGGGACCCGACTTTCACAGGAAGGACCCTATCTAACTGCTATTTCCAACCTAAATCCTACACTCAGCATCACTCAGCCTAGTTTTTTCGTTTAAGGGCCTTTACTGTAGCTATTCCCCTTTATGCCCCATTGTGGTTGGTTTATATAGCCAATATCTTTCACCATGTGTACCGGTTATCAGCTTCCACATCTGCTACCGAGCGGCCGTTCATTTCGTCGGCTTTGGGCTCCTGGTCAGGCGGCTGGACCCAAGTGCGTTCAAAGTTGGGAGTTGGATGACATGATCCAATCAACATCTTGTCCGTGAAGATATAAAAGTGCAAAAAACAAATCTACAAATATTACTGCATATGATCTTTTATACCATTTGTTGTGGGTCTATCATGGTCTATCTAATTGAATCTACTTGTATAAGAAAAAGTGCAATACTGACAATACAGTGATTCTGAAGTCACCAGCCTTCAACTGCCATGACAATCAAAGGTTTCCCACCAGACCACGGGAACCCTGGGACCTGGCACCTTCCACCCTTGGCACCTGCGCCCGCGCAGGTGTCGGTGTGGCATCAACGCTTTCGGCTTGGGCACGGGCAGCGCGAAGTGTGTCCTACAGCAGTCATTGGGTTTCTGTGGGTTTGCTCTGATTTGACGAGATATGACATGAGAAATAGGTTTTTGAAATTTCTGGAGAATCAGTTTTTTTGACTTTCTTGGAGTTGACTTTTTTAGTTTCAGGGGATCTGATCAACGATCATCATAGGTGATCATCAGTGGGCAAACTATTCACAGAATCATGGGGAGATCATGAACGATGGTCAAATAAATGGTGCCACCATATACCACCTATCAAAAACCCCAGCTTTCAATGCTTAATTCAACCATGATTCATCCGTATATATTATACATACATACATATATATATATATATCAAATCTACATCCATCTACAGGTTCCATCTTGAAATCCAGCAGAAACGTAAGATATCTGGTGGCATGCTTCCAACCCCAGCGTTTGCACATTTTCCATGGCGCCCCACCTGCCTCCAGTCCGGGACAGCCGCCAAGGCGCATGGCCTTCCAACGGGACTATCCCACTTGGTGGTTCATCCCAGGAATCGTAAGTGGGTTAGTTCACCCCAGTTATAAGTGAACATTGCCCCTACAAAACGCCCATTTATAATCAGGGTTATAGCTTACTAACTGGGATGAACCACCAAGCAGTTATCTCTTTTTTTTGGGGGGTGGGACTGTTGGTAATCGAAACATGTTAACATCCAAGTTTTCCTGTTTTTACATACACCACTTCAAACTTGGATTTGCTTAAGGCCCCCCAAAAAAAGAAACAAAACATATTCCCTATAAATTCCCCCGTTCTCCTGGGTTTCCCATTCGAAAAATAAACAAATGATCGACTCAACAAATCCAAGTTAGGATTACATGGGGTGTAATCCACGTACATGGGTTAAGACATTGATACAACGGGGGTATATGACCAAGAATATATTACCCCACTGACTGGGCTTCGTAAGTTTAGAAACTGAACTTAGATTCCTGGGTTTCCAGCTGGTCTATTGAGTCAGAGGTGCTGATCTTTGCCGAAGTTGGCTTACAACTAGTACAGCTAGGGTTTACGGTAGATATATCGAACTATCTAAAACAGCTTTCAATTGAATAAAAGGTCTTTTACAGTACATGGTTTCCTTAGTTGCAAGAAGAGGTCCTCAAAGTATGGGTAAGTTGATTGTAAGTAACTAGGCTAAGTGTTGGATTAAGATGGATTTATGATGCATGTATTCATTGGTCGGGTTAAAGAAATTGGAACCCTCTGGTAAACTAATATAGCTATTGAAAATGGCTCATTTATAGTTGATTTAACTAATTACCTATTAAAAATGTTGGTTTTCCATATTTTTTTGTATGTTTTACCAGAGGGTAACTGGAGGGAGCTTCCTATTTGGTCCCCAGCCCCTTTTTAAAAGGCAACCGCACCACCCCTGTACGGCTGCCGCCTTCTCCAACAAGCGGATGCCTTCCGAGACGTCACCGTTCCTGGCCAGGTCAGGTTGCATTGGAGCAGAAAACTCTGAATCTGGAAGGACTGGGGTCTAAAATAAGCATAAATGAACAAATATTATATATATATACATATATTTTTACAATCTATATTTGGATCTGGTGTTCAGTGCAACATTGCAACATACGGATCCAACCAAGTTCAAACTATCCAATCCAGTAGATGACTATGTTCCATGTCTCTGCAATTTGCATTTGTGTAGCAAATGCATATGTTCAACTTCCTGATAAACAAATCACCACAAATACGCGTTAATGTGTTAGACATTTTTTGACATATCTTTCTTTAGAGGGCAAGAGAAGTAGTGGCAGTTCGTGACGGTTCGTGGCAGTGGTGATGGTCATCATTCATTGATGATAGTGATAACATCAAACGGTGGTGATGATAATAGTAATGATAAAAAGATTCATGAATGTTCCAAAAAGTAGATAATTGGATATATATATATATATAAATACAACGCACGTGAACATAACAGAATGATCATAGAACATCACCAGACAGTAAAAATACTGGTTTTGACTCTTTTCAATCTCCGATCATCACAATTATCAAATCCAACATTAAGTTATGAATGTTATACTCCCATCAATATTCCATCCATTATAACTTATCCAGAACCATTCTAGCAGCCCCCTACTTGGTGGTTCATCCCAGTTTGTAAGTAGGTTATAACATGTTATAACATCTTATAACCCTGATTATGAATGGCCTAAGTAGGGGCAAGGTTCACTTATAAGTTGGGTGAACTAACCCACTTACTAACTCCAAGTGGCGGATGCACTGGGGTACCTAGCCAAGTACGTGGATGTGCTTAAAACACTTGCGGTACAAGTCCTGGGATGAACCACCAAGTACCGGCCCTACCGGCCCTACCGGCCCTACCGTCCTCAAGGCCCTTTCACCCAGCGCGCGGCACTGCAACACGTCTTCCCGGCGATCGTCACCATCCACCAGGCCGTCGTCCTGAACCAAGGGGTTCATATATGGGGGTTCTATGAAAAAACCAATCCAAATGGATGATGAAATGGGGTACCCCTATTTCAGGAAACCTCCATATGGGTTTATGTTGGTGATACCCTCTGGCAAACATGCAAAAAAAAAACAAAAAACTATGGAAAATCACCATTGTTCATGGGTAAATCAACTATAAATTGCCATTTTCAATAGCGATGTTAGTTTACCAGAGGGTACGTAGGGGGGATACATAAATGGGTATACCCTAAACTGGATGTTTTATAGTGGAAAGTCCTATTAAAATGGATGATTTGGGGGTACCTCTAGTCACGTGAGGGTTTAACAAACTAAAACGGCCAAGCCACAGCCAAATTAGAGGAAAACGCTCATCATAGGAATCCAGGAAATCAATCTCACTTCAAAGACCTTGCAAGACGATAGTCTATTCTGTCCACACGATATCACGACAGTATATAGCCTTCATGAATATGTCTGAAAATAAACCCTTCAAAGCCAAGTCAACCCAAGACACCTACTATGGGGCGTAACATTGACCCACTTCGGGCGCTTGCAATGTAAGAGCTGGTTCATGTTGGTTCGCTGATCACCTTCCAAGATAAACCTTTGGTGGGTCTTACATAGTGCAATCCACCTACACCCAGAAACCACTAAGAATCAGGACCTGTAGCGATTTGTAGCGAGCTAAATCCACCCATTGGGGGGTTGTTTCACACCAAGCTGCGTCCAATACCCTCCAGTAAACTAACACAGCTATGGAAAATGGCCTTTTATAGATGATTTTCCCATTAAAAATGGTGATTTTCCATAGTTATGTAACATACAAAAAGCTATTGAAAATGACCATTTATAGTGGATTTACCCATAAAAAAATGTGATTTTCCATGACAAGCTGTTAGTTTAGCAGAGGGCATCCCATTCTTTCAGAACCCCCCTTGTCACCGTGTCACCACACCTCAGTCTCAAATGGCTCATCATCATCCTCCTGGCTGATCTTTGAATTCTGCCGACGAAGCAATGTGGATGTGTCTGAACATGGGATAGTCTGCAGAACCTTGTAAGTTTTAAACGGGAAAATGGTTATGAATGTTATGACATATATAAAATAATATATATATATATATATATTTATTTAGTGACTGACCATCAAATTTGTGGATACCCCATGTTCAAACAAACCCATGTGAACCATTGTGAACCTATGCTTGCTGTGGATTTCTGAGTCATGAATGCCGCAAACCAAGGGAATGTCCAAATTCAATCTGTAAATTATCTCAGCACCTTGTAGATGTTCCATGGCGACCTGTGTCTTTGGGCACCCCAAACTCATGAAGAAATAGTGAAGCACTCTGTCGTTCAAAGTCATTCCAGCGAAGACCATTGAAACTCTGGAGTGTCCACACGGTGCAGCATCCAGCGTATGGTCTCTCATGGGGTGGAGCAACGGTCTCAAGAACGCTGCGCTCGACAAGATGACCACGGGTCCCTGCGTCGTCAAACGGATCCATGAAATGGATATGGTCGCCGAGGTTGTTTTCATCTTCGTTGATGTAACCCAAGGCAAGCGCATTATGCCAGCGGTGACCGGTTTCCTTGACCTCGACGTTGATGAAGTTCCGCAGCCCGACCCCCGAAGCCTTGGTCAATGGTGTTGTCGTAGTACTCCAGGCAGGTCTTCATGCCGCTGGTTGACCAGTCGCTTGATCTCCGTGGCAAGGACAGCTGAGCTTCGAACGTTGGCGATGAAATCATCGCTGAAGCCCCGCTGTCGCTAGTGTAGGGGCTGCTGATCTTGACGCCACTTGCGGATGTGTCGATGCTGCTGCTCTTTTAAGGGTCAGTATGGTATGATGAGCACGAAAGTTCTATAGGAATTGATTGTACGAAGTTGTCGGTTTTCCAGATCGAACAGCATCTGGGGGCAGATATTGGTAAATCACAGCATGTCCAAAGCAGAAAATACGCAATTGTTGGTTTGATTTCCGGATATTCCCCCCAGCAATGACTGACAATCAGTAGTGGTGGGCCCACAAAGTCATTTCAAACCTTTGCTACTTTGAAACATGCTGAATTCTGAATTCTCAATTGGGTATCTCTAGTTTCCTATTTATGGCACAAACAAAACAGCCGAGTAACTTTCCAAACCACGTTAAGCTCCAAAATTTCTCCAAATAATTTCCCTCCTACAAGCTCCTATTGAGCTAACCTCACGTGAACAGTTGTATTGCACATAGGTCCTAAATCCCCGCTTTACAAGCAGGGAAACATAACAACACTACGAAAACAACAAATCTTATGGCAGGTGAAGAGGCCAAATACGTGGCTGACCCTTCGCCAATAGACGGAGGTGGGGACTCAAACAGTATGTGCCTCGTTACCCCGCTTAAAACGACAACTGCTATCGTGTAACTCCTCAGGATTGGGGGGGACCTCAAGACCATTTCCTCCCCCACTGATGACGGGACCCTGTACGTAAAGGAAGTACTATAGTGCTGTTAAGGATCAAGGCAAGGTCGGGACACCCACTACGAATGATCTGAGGCATCCCCAAAACTGGAGGCTTGTTGGACCAGGGCTTTACATCCACCTCCCACGTCTTTCCAACACCTCCATCTCGACGTCAGCAGCAGCTTGACCCTGTGACGTGTGTTGGAATTCTGGGCGGGGTAGTGGGATACAATGGATCACAAGTTTGCCATAGTCATAGTAATTTAACCATATATTCAAAAATGATGGAGTTCGTCAATGGGAAGGATGACATCCCATGTATTAATATGGACAGTCATAAAATTCATGTTTGAAACCACCAAATGGCTATAGTATGGCCATATACAGTGGATTATAAGTTGGCTTATAATGTTTATAAAGCCATTGGTTTTAAGAAGATAAATCACCGGGGTCAATGTAGTTCAATGATATGTAGATGAATTGCAGCACTTCACTACATAATTGTTTATCGGAATCAATGCCATTTGGAGAGTTTTTTCGCTCAATCCAATTCCAATCATTCCACTGACGTGGCAGTGAGGTCGTTCTAATTTTAGGAAGCCTATCGTTAGCTCCTTCCTGCAACTATTCCCATATTATAGTATCATATAATTATTCCCCACGTTGGTTGGTTTAAGCCTCATGTTTCACAATTTCTGCAGGTTAAATGTCCAAGTTTGTGAGGCTCGAGGCAACTCTTGTTGATTTAACCTTCGATTGTTACAACTTGCCATGGCAAAATCCCCCATTTTTTCCTGCACCAGGCACCACTTTTTTCCGCTGGATCTCCACCTGTCCACCGATGGTCACCGTCTGCGGCGCGTCGAACTTGGACACGTGCGGCCGAGGCTTGGGCGCTTCGTCGTCGCTGATGTCCTCAAGTGCGGGGGGAATCATCGCAGGAGTGGCAAGTGCACCTACCAATTGGTGAGATAATTTCTGGGATTAAGTACCTATAACAGTTGTACCGTTATAGCAATTTCTAGGGATTGATTTCATGGGTATAACCAATGGGATGAGATTATTGGTGGATAAATGGCCTAACCAATTATCTCATAGTTGATGAGGTATTACCTAATACCCATTTATAGGGATTTTGCATAATTGCATCTACCAATTGTTTTGGGATTAAGGGGTTAATAGTCAACAAATGTCAGCAATTTTTGGGATAGTAGTCCCAATCATATCTACATATCTAACAAGTATATGATGAGATAGTTACTGGGATTCATCGGATTTAATTAATGGGTATAACATGGTATAACTAATGGGACAAACAAGAGGCATTGGGCTTTAACATGGAGACTTTGGCATATTCCAGCCATAAACAAAGCCATCCCCAAAGGGAAGGCGCCAGGCAGATCCCACTGAAGTTAGGATCTGCGGTGGGCTATATCCCACCATACAGTATCTTGGCAATTGCTTGATTATGATAAGCATCTAAAATGACATACTCCCCGGTAAATTCAGCATAATTGCTATTGAAATTTGTTGTTTATAGTTTATAATTAATTTACCTATCAAAAAAGCTGTTTTTTCCCATAGCTATGTTGATTTTCCGGAGGTACCCCAATTACAAACCAACACAAACCACCGAGTCCCCAACTTGGTTGCCTGGAACATTTGCAAAAAACCTCTCTATATCTCATGGTTTGCTAAAATAGCTGTCTTCCCTTTAATATTTTTAAACAAGGCCAGTCCATTGACTGATCCATCACTTAAAAACGCTAGCCTAAGATACCCTGGGGCCCAAAATCCTCAAAACACATTTTTTGGGCTTATCTAGTTAGATCAATCTGGGTAAATTATAATAATTCAATAACCTGAATTAAGGCCATGTGGGGATGATTTCCCTTACTAACCATGATTTCCAGTGAGGTCGCAGTGAGGTCGTTATAATTTACCCAGATCAATGGTGTATATCCCATGTTTCGCGTAAAAAACGGGTTTACGCAGTCAGATCACCTAGGGCCCCAACCAGCTTGTCCCATTTGGAGTAGTCGACCATGGCGTCCCAAAATGCTGGCTGCACCAGCTGCGCCGTTCGAGCAAAATTTCAAAACCTGCTTGGTGGTTTGAACTCGAAGGAATGCGAGGGATATGAAGGGGGGTTTATCTCAAGAATGTTGCAGCATAGTGATTTGGAATCCATGAAAAACGGTTTGAGGCTTGAAAAACTTATCATCCAATATTTCTGAAATCCCCAACTGTAGAGTTGTTTTTTTGGAGTACCTATGAAATGTTGGTAATTACAGTATGTCTCACCACTTTCACTTTTCCAGGTCGTGTGAGATGCTTACTGTTCTGTGCGCAAGAAGTGCTAGTGACCCAGTTGCTTTGCATGTGTTCAATGTCCACAACCACTGCATGACTGGCATATCTCCGAACCGCGGCGGCGTAGAAGAAATGAGCCAACTCTCAGATTTGGGGGAACTTTTGGAAGTTGAAGCCCATTCAGGTACCTAAAATGGTGGTTCGGTATGGTTCGGTGCCTTTTCAAGCCATATTTTGGGATCCATTCCCATTGACATATGATTTCCGAAGTACTGTGCAAGTTAGTACTGAAGTCCAAAATGTCAAAACCCCTCAAGAATTCTCTGGCTCAAAGGAATTCAACAAATTTGTAGTTTTCAACCCTAAGAATCACCAACAATACTTTGTCAATTTGTTTGATCCCCCGTTCTTGGCTCATTACAAATGGGTGCCTGAAAGTGGCGAATCTCAACTGAGCCATGGGGATATGTCATTGAATTCGCGGCTAATCTTTCAAAGAAATGCCCTTCAAAAAGGAAACACAACGCATTTCTTGAAGGAGGAAAGCATACCCAGATGCTCCATGTATGGAATATTTACCTACATTTGGGCCATTTTGGGGGAACATGTAGGTAAATATTCCATACATGGAGCATCTGGGATATGCCCCTCAAAGAGGCAAACATGTCACAATGTGTCAAATCAACCTCGCATTAACTTATGGCGTTTACCCACGTCCCCTCTGGCAATCAAACCTGGCAGTAGGACATCAATGAACATCACCTAACTATAACTTGGTTTCCTTACAGGATATTTTCCTTGTATAATTGCCCATTGATCTTGGCTCCTTGGCTCAAGAACGCCAGTTAAACGGTGGCGATTTCCACAGCGCCAAGTTCGATTCCCAGACTTAGGGGGTGCAGTTCCAGTGAACTAAGCGGACGTATTTATTTCATCATAGATCCCAAGTTATGGAAGTTATTGCCATGGTTATACCAATGTTAGTCACCCCAACCATGGTTGATCCCCATGATCATTCCATGAAAATGCCAGTGCTTTCCAATCAAACGTGGCAATAGAAAATCGCCAATGCGTGGACGTTTACGAGCTGGCAAAATCATCGACCTTAAGGGTGGATGTTCAATTGTGACGCTTGGTTACCGGAGGGTGAACCTTATATCTTTGTTCAATCCGTATTATCCCATTAAAAACCAATTCTTCACGGAGTAAAACCTGATAATTTCTGACTACATTTCGGTAGTTCAAGGATCATGCCTGGCGCCACTGTCGCTTCAATTTTGGGCCCACAGGGCGGCAGATCCAGCCGCGCGGGGGCAGCCCTCAAGCAGCTGAGAACAGGAAGCGGTGTAAACAGCGCGAAGTCATCCACAAAAAATGGGTAGTTGATATTTGTTTGCCTTAAATGATATGACCAATGATATAGGTCGTGTATATATATATATATTAATGTTACCTCAGTTATGTCATTGTGTCACCATGGTTTGAACCAGAGGAAATAAGGAATAGAAACGGATAAAAACTGGGCATCCCAGCTGAGTTGACGGGACAAATTGTGGGATGGTTGGGGCTATACTGTGTACTGTGTACACGCTGAGTTAAATTCTGGTCGGTGGTTTTAACCATCTTGAAAATATGAAAGTCAATGGGAAGAATTATCCCATATCTTTTATGGAAAATAAAAAATGTTTGAAACCACCAACTAGAAATCAATTTGCATGCCTTGAGCTACAACTAAGAGCTTCTGTCCCAGAATGTGCAGCTATGCACAGAGCTTTGCAACTTTGTGGCCAGCGCCAGGTCAGCTAAATCATGAGAGGACTTTGCCACTCAAATCTGTTTGAGTTGCGTTGAAATGGAGTGTGGTAGGACATTCCAACAAGCGTATAAAGCGTGGGATTTGAAGGGGGCAGGTAAGACAGCTTTCATTGTGTTGACATTTACGCACAGGCCAATTTGTCAAACATGTCTCGCAACATTCTTAGCATGAAACAGCATATATCTGCCTTCTTCGTTTGCAATACTGTGCCCCTGTAGCTTCCAAATCAAAGCATCAGTGAATGTTTCACACTCTACGCCCGAGCCAGGAATACGAAGAGCAGAGTAGGCCGGCAATGTCTCCTCGGCCCAGGAAGGCCCCACCCGCAGGCATCCGAAACAATCAGGTGATGGGCCATCTGCCATCAGATTCCAGACAGACTTGGACCGGCACCCGCCGCACCCGCCAGACTGGCCGGACGTAGAGATAGGGGGTTAAATGCTCAGGCACTGGGGCGGCTGCATCCTCATGTTCTGGGGGAGGTGACCTTTGGCCAAATAATTCTTCTGGCCCTGACCTTTGCGTAATACATAGAAGTTGCGAAGTTGCTTGCACAACAATGTCTCCTCGGCGATGTTCAGCTTCGTTCCCCCGGCAGCAATCAGAGACAATCATAAGGCTGTTCCCTGTTCTTTGGCCAAATCCCATTGATGCAAGATGTCATGAAGGCCGAGGTACATCCCATCAGACAATTTCCAAGAGCCCGCATGCCCGTGGAAGATTCCGTAAAGAACATGCATTTCGCAATGTATCGAAAAGAAATCATTGATGTAATCTTTGGCTCGGTCCAGAGTCAGCTTTCCGCCACAAGCAAATTGAGCAGGCCAATTCGCCTCCCAAAAGGCCTTTATAGTCGCGATAAGGATCTCCACATCGTCCCAGGCTCTTAAGAGCGGTGCTTCGCCTGGAACCTCGCCAGATAGCACCAGGGCTCGTGCGGTGGGATTTGTCATGGCTCTGGCTTTGTGACAAACACTCGTGCGTCTATCTAGGGCAGTTGCACCCTCAGGTTCAGGTGACCTTTGGCAAAATGCTTCTTCTGGCCCTGACATTTGGCTGGTCGTGTCAGATGTATCAGATGCCAGTGAAACACTGTGGGACGAGCTTGGGTCCGCTCCATCTTCATTGATAAACACCCAGCCCCTAAAGTTGCTTGGATCTGGACAATAATAGCATGGGCCAAACTGAAGCAGCGCCCTCTCAATATGAATTAGCATGTCACTGCCTCGTTTGTTTGCAGTACTGCGCCCCTGCAGGTTCCAAAGCAAATACTCAGTGAAGGTTTCTCCCACCACATCGTGAGAAGTACTGCCTCTAGCACAGGATGCTTGCACGGCAATGTCTTCTCGGCCCAGGAGAGCAGCTTCATTCACCATCTGCCCCGACTCACAGGAATCAGAAACAATAAGAAGGCATTGGGCCGTCCCCTGTTGTTTGGCCAAATCCCACTGCTCCAGAATGTCAGTAAGCCCAAGGGTGGTACCATCAGACAATTTCCAAGATCCCTGACGGCCATGGAAAATTCCATAAAGAACATGCACATCGCAATGTACAGAAAAGAAATCGTTGATGTCTTCTTTGGCTCGGTCCAGGGTCAGCTTCCTGCCGTAAACGCATCCAGTAGGCACATTTGCCCTGCGGAAGAATTTGCTCAACTTCTCCGCATTGTACCTTGCACCTGGGAGTGGATCCTCACCAGGGACTTCACAGGAGAGCACCAGGGCCTGCCTTTGCGGCGCTTGGTTGGCCATGACTTTGTGGCCAGCGTTCGGTTCGAGCAAGAAATGTCAACCTGCACGTGCAGAACCATCACAGATGGTCCCAATATGATAGCCCAGTTGCCCAACATTGTGCCGCTTCAAGGGCCCGTAGATTCGCAAGATGTTCAAATTTCCATGTGGAAAGAAAATCAGCATCCTTCAGCACATCCTAAAAGAAGAATATTGAGATCATATCTCGCACTCTCAAACTCAGCCACAGCCATACAAATTGAGCCTAACAATTTAGACATCCAAATCCAAATGATTTTCTTGCTGCATTAACGCGACTAGACTTTCACAACATGAAAACTGAAGGGGCTATGTGACACCCGAACCTGACACACAGGGTTGCTCCCAACACCACGGGTACAAGTGGGAAAATTGGCGATATATCGTTAATTATAGGTAAAATCACGATGATTCTTGCCGTGCTCATTTACGTTTAATCAGTTGGAGCACGTTGGAGCACCCCTGGTGGCACAGGCAACCTGTGGAACCTGGTGAGACTAGACTTCCAAGCTGGCACCTGAGCCATCCAGGAGGAGGATCAGGTGGCCAGGTGGAGATCTCCTGGGCGGTTTCAGCGCGTCTTACGAAGGTCAAACCGATAGCTAAGTTGACTTGTATGGATTTATATAACTTGGTTAACTAGGGTTTATGACACATATATCTATAGTTCCTGGTGATTATAAATCACCGGTATAGCGGGGGGGGGCACAACCTTGTAATATGTCATAATTAGATATGATTAGTCCCTCAATGCCTAACAAAAACACAAAGAAAACTTGGTTTAGCAATGTGTAGCATTGGATCTATATATTTGTTTTGGATACCAAAAACTGGGTTCATATGAAAGGATTATTTGATCACCTCAATGGGTGGCCAATCATTTTACACATGTGGAGCACCTGGAAATTTTCTAAGATTCCGGGATTGGGTTCCGGATCTGCAACACCTGGTAGATGAAATCATGATTTGTTTTTTGCATGTTGATCTCATTTAGGGCCCGCATTCATTGGGCTGGAGAAATTCTGACAAGGTCATCTGAAGACAAAGTTCTTTGGTGTCGATTTCCCGTATGAACAATAATCCACTGAAAATACTGGGGCTTAATGAGGTTTTCCAAGCCGATTCTTGGCACGACTTATCATGCCAAAGTTCTTCCAATGGCTGGGCTGCCGGACAAAAGCTTGCTTGGAGCAGCCGAAGTCAGCTAACTTCGAAGTCCGAACCGAAAAGCACTGATCGATTTTTTGGACCCCCCATTCTTGGCTGATGACAACTGCCTGGGAGTGGCTTGAATGGTGATGAGCCGCGAATATCGTAAGCTTTGGGAATATGCCATTCAATTCGTGGCGAATCTTACACAAATCACTGCCCTGCATTAAAAATAACATATCACGTGGTTCCAAAAATCAATTCGTAGCTCCTTTGGCTTCTCATTTCGCAGATACGGATATCACCTAGCTCCCTTCACCACTCCCCTCCATTAACCACCGGATCGAACATGAAAACGAGTTTCTTGAGGGCAGGAAGATATAGTTCACATTATGACAGAATTGCACGATGAGAAGATCGGAAAACCCATGGGTTTTCAACAGATTTTCCATCAAACCAATCCAATAAGCCTCTATGACATGTCCAAATCCCACCGAATAATCCATTAAATCATTAAATCCCATCAAAATGCCAGGCAAAATACCATTAAATCCCATTGAATCACCATTTAACGTCTATTTTTGCTGGTAAAATCACCCCAGTACACCACCCTGCTCCGCTTCGATTTCTGTTGCGCGCCATCGCCTCTCCACGGTGGCCCACAGGGCGGCACATCCAGCCTTGTACCGGACGCGAGTTGCGGTTGCGTTACGTGCGGCGGCAGCCCTAAAGCAGCTGAAGATGGGGGAGTGGTAACAAAAAATGGTCAGGTCATCATAGTTCACCAAAAAATTGGGGACTGTGATATGATGATATCAGCAAAAAAGGAATGAAAATCAGGAAAGGGATGCCGAATATATGTGTTATGATTAAAACTGGTCAAATATCAACAAGAGTGCTGGATGGATCGAGGAAACTGGGCATTGGAATTGAGATTGGTGGGAGTAGCACCAACCACAACTTCTTGGATAGCCAGGAATCGCAAATGCATAGTGGCATAGTGGCCATATATCTATTTGATCTCAACCCCAGGTTGAGAAACTTCTAGGTTTCAGCAATCATCTGGCACTATCTCCAACGCTCACACTCTGGCAAAGAACGTGGATGCATTAGAAACCCGACCATATTCCATGGACAAATAATATCCTGAATAAAGATTTTTCCACAACTCGGTTAGATGCAGAGTCTGTCCGTATCCAGCGACTTTTGTAATGCATCTAGTTAATTCATGCCATTGAGATCCATTGAGAAAAAGGCTGAATATGTCTTAATATGTCTTAATTACCATGTGAGACCTATGGGGACCTATGGCCATCTATGTTTCGCCTTTACGGGGAAAACGACACATCGACACAGTTACGAAGGTGCGCAGCTGTGCGCTTCAAAATGCTGCACCTGACCGCCGCTTTGATCGGAGACTGTCTTCCAAGCGATGTTTGAATGGCAGGACTTTCGCTTTAGAATACAGGGAACTGTAACCAACAATATGGGGATATAATGCGATCTGTTGGGAATATCAATGGGAATGTAGATGAATATAGTGGGATATGACATGATATAACTATGGCAACTCAAAAAAAAATGATGAAACGTGTGCCCAGGATGTGACAAAGATACCTATAATTAGTGTTTCTTCCATACTCCCCAGTAAGCTATCATAGCTGTGGAAACCCACGGATTTCCACAGGAAATGATCTACAAATGGTCATTTTACATAGCTATGTTAGTTCTCTGGAAGGTAAACTACCATTTGCTGATCCACACCTGAAAAATGTTTGGACATCTCAGCTTTTCAGTTCCCCCTTGAGTTTGGCATACCCAAAATCTCGGACATTGCCCTTAGAACCTCCAGAAAAGGCACTGGTGGAAGAGCCGAGGTGCTGTTTTCATGTGAAACGAATGGTTGACTCACTTCAAATCTGGATCCATTTCCATAGGATCCATGTATGGTATATATGCTAACATAAAGGGGGTATATTGATGGTAAATGTTACCATATATACCATACATGGATCCTATGGGATTGGGATCTTGAAAGAAAATTCACCAACTCTGTCGTCCCTGCCATCCGTTCTTTGCATCCAATCACCGTGTTGCGGGCGCATCTGAAGGTCAAAGGCGGTAACCAAAGCATGACATGCCATTGGTGGCTGGAGCTTTTTCCCTCCGAACCATTGGAGAGCCATTGAAAACAACACTCCAAGGTGGTACCCCAGTTCGTTAGCTAAGTTGGTGAACATAACTCCAATAACTATGGTTTATGGTACTTATAACTATAGTTAATGGGGTTTATAAACCATCTTATAACTGAGGGGGCACCACCTTGTACTGATGGGTTACCAACATCTTCTCAACATGTGCCTCGACACCAGCCCACTTGACCGAAAGGCTCTGGAAAAAAATCCACGTGCTGGCGACATCACGACGTGAAGGTCGCAGACTTATCAAGGTGCCTTCGCGGGCGAATTTACACACGGCAAATGGCTTCCAGGAATCACTTGGTGTTAACGCTTCGGTTTGGTGGTTTCAACTGATACACTTCAATGGATTGGTGTAAGATGGTTTCAGGGAAAGTTTGGAGGACCCCCCTATATTTCACGGGAAACCCTGGTTTATGGTTCAGATTTTGCCTTAAACCAATCCATTGAACACTGCGAATCTTTCATGCACATCATATATCAATGGCCATTTCAAGAACCTAAATTGGAGGTACCTACCATATATAAGGCCTATGAAAGCCCATGTAAGGGAATATCCCCACAAAATATGGCCTTACCATTGAATATATGACGATGTTCAAGTGTCCCACTTGATGGACTTCTTTCCTTCCACAGATCCATTTGATTCCATTTGCCACGGCTGAGGTTTGGAAGCTCTCGCCCGTCAAGTGCATCGGGTAGCTCGAGGTGATCCATCCTGTACCGGCATTGATCAAGCAGTATTTAGCCAATAGGGTCATAAATCATTCAACGATGCCATTTTATACCTCATAATGCGCATTTTAAGGCTTAAAGACCTACTTGTGTACAACTCCATCTATCATGTGTTAAATGCGTTTTCAGGGGCCATTCGTCTAGCATCATTACTTGATTGGGATACGTCTTGGATCAAACATTCTGACCAATTTGACAAACTGATGGCCATCTGGTGTTTCACGGCTGCCCCTGCATATGACGGCTGAGCCGCCCTCACTAAGTACTGAGACAGGGTTAGAGGCGACGCAGCTACGCATCACGCTCCGCCACTGCCGCAGGGTCCTTTATATCAAATGCGCAAATGCGTGCCCCGTGTGGGCGAGAAAATTCCACATGCCGAGCGCTTTGCTTTGTGCTGACACGTCATATAACGACAAAGCCGTCCCTGCCGGCCCTGCCCTAGGAGGCAACAAGGATACTCTGAAGTCTGGTGTGAAAGGGCAAAAAAGTGTAACCCACTTTTAGTATCTTTTAGTCTCAATAGCCCATAAAGGGCCAGTATATGCCAGTATATTATGGCCCTTTATGGGCTATTGTCGTCATTAATGCCCATACAAGTGTAACCCACGACTTTCAACATCCTGTGGCATCATCGTACCACATGCACCAGTTGGAATCACAACAAACTCCGCCACGTAAATTTCGCTTGCAAAAAAGGCTTCAAATGCATCATGGCCAATCTTGAAAGTTGAGTAGTACAAAATAGTACCAATTAGTATACATATTTCAATTAATGGTCAGACATTTAAGTGATTTACAATTATTTACAGTAAGTATATGAAAGTACCCATCCAAGTATGACCCAAATACATCCAAATACTACGGTTCACGCTTCAGCAGGGTCCGACAGGAAGGCATGGAAGGCATAGGCGGGAAAGGCTAAACGCAGCACGACTCACAGCGAATTCAGGCAATGGAGGAGTGACATGCGATGGTGCCATCACCATGCACTGGTGAACCAACTCTTCCAACCACCAGAAGAAATGGCTGCTTTAATCCGTTTTACTTGGTGGTTTATCCTATTTACTGAGGCTACTGAGATTATTATATATGATATAGATCAAAATAGTATGCAATAAGATTGGTTCATCCTACTTACTAAGATTACTCAGGCAGGTTAGATACCTGCAAGACATTATATATGAAACTCAAAAAAACTCCACTATCTGCATGCTTCACCTGCTTGAAACCCCAGGGATTTGATCAAATGATGAGATTGGCTCTATGGTCGGCTTGACACATTCACGTCCCTCCTCGCCCATCAGGAACCACCTGGCGGGCAACGGACTCCTGAGAGGTCCCCACATGGTCTAGATGGGTTCTTGATCCACACTTTCCCCACAAAAAAACAAAAACACAGAAGTTAGGTATAACTTTGCGACTGGAAGTGCTTTTCAAAGCTATATTACATGCATTACGGAAATTTTAGGGGCCTCATCATGCAAACTCTGTGTCCCGCTTGGCTGTGAAGCTACCGCCAGAATGCTGACAATATGTAAGATAGATCAAATAATGGGAGGGGCATTGCCCACACCAGTACTGGCAGTCTTGGCCAAACTATAAATGCACTACTGTCAAGAAATGTCAGGAATGGTCCATGTGTGCGCCCTGAAAAACATCATCGTACATCAGAATCATTAGAGCAGTGGCAGGTTCCGCTGGCATACGTCCTTCCCAAATTGCAATACTTTCAGATCGCAAACAGCCAGTAGAACCAAGTGTTCTTGCCTCCTTATTAATCGGTTTCATGAACAAAATCCAATACCAGAGTTTCCATCAGAGAAACCATCTTTGATTTGCAACCCTGTGGTTCAGGTCCAAACTGAACCACAGGACACTACAGTCAATTACCTTAATACATCTCAAAATCACTCCAGGGTGTCCATTCAACACCGAGGGTCAGCGACAAGAAACTCTATTTCACTGGGTTAGTTTCCGGCTAAAATTGCACACAAACAAATTGTGTTTGTTTTTTTACCATCAAACTGTAAGGATTCCCACAAAATGTTCCACGAAAGTTCTGAAACCATCTTAAACTAATTTTGGTGGTTTGCTGCTCTTCTGCCACAACAAATATATAAATGTGCTGTTGTTTCGTGGTTTATGTGGTAAAACATGGTAAGCCCATCCGAACCCCACAGACACTGAAAATTGAGATCTGTATGGCTATAATCGTAATATTCACCACACCCCCCACACCCCTTTTGTTCCCATAAAATGGTCGGGAATCCCATGAAAAACATCCCCCGTTTAGCTATAGGCAGCTATACTACACTTTCATTGCATTCCCATTGCTCCTGGTAATTGAACATAGCTATGGAAATCACCATCTTTAATAGGTAAATCAACTATTTCTATGGTCCATTTTCAATAGCAAACTGTAACAAATTACCAGAGTCATATTCCATTAATACACACATCGATATCTGAATACCAATTAACATCCATATACTTTAACCACCAAAAATATCAACATTCAATGGGTTTAAGGGACTGAAAATTTTCCCTTAAACCAATTCATTGAAACATCTATGAAAAACCACCAAAAATTATGACATTTTAATTTTAATCCACCACTATAGCCCACCTCAACTCCAGGCTACGCGCGAGTCGTGGTGACGCCGTTTGTCCTGCGGTGAGACGGTCTCTGCGTCCTAACAAAAAACTTGGGGATGCAACGTTTGGATATCCTGCAAAATCACTGGTTTAAGATGGTTTAAGATGGTTTAAGATGGTTTAAGATGGTTGAAGTTTAAGCTGTTTATGCTGTTTATGTGTGTCATGACTTGCTTGTATAGTAAGTATACGTGCATCTAAGTGGTCTGAGGTTCAAACAGTCAAGGCCCCTGAACCATCTTGTAATACTTGCACTCCTGAGCCTATCTGACTTTTTGGTCGTGATGTCAAAACAAAATTTTCTGAACCAACAACTGGGACATTCCTTTGATAACCATAATGTTATTTCAAACACCTGGGGGTAACATGGAAGTCTGGCAAGTTCTCAAAACAAAGAACACCCAGGTCTATTTCAACGGAGAACCCGCCAAAGAATGGACAATAACTTGGCCCATGGAGCCCATGATCTCTTCCCAGCGTGCAGGAGTTGAATTGCCATTACACCATGAAGATCATATTCAACACAAACGCCCCCAAAATCGGACTTTCCAGAGCCAGAAAAAAAACTCTCCATTTCCCTTACATCATGTTTTTTTTGGGCTACGAGTCACCTTTTACAGGCCATTGAGAAAAAATTGGACCATCGCTGTTCACCGGTGGCCTTCATGGGCGGCATGAAGTACTCATGACCTTGGCGATGCTGGGAATATACGGTGGCTCCCACCCTTCCATGGCTACCTGGACCTGGAGGATGATACTTCTAAAGAAGACGTAGTGACCCTGCTCTCCAAAAAAACCCAAGATTTTAGATGAGATACCCTCTGGTAATTTAACAGTTTGCTATTGAAAATGACCATTTATAGTGGATTTACCCATTGAAAATGGTGATTTTCCATAGTTATGCTAGTTACTAGTTTACCAGAGGGTAAATTGATATAATAAATAATCGTTAATTTCTTTAACTTCAACCTATACCCTCTTGGAAGATTTCGAAGATTTTCCCAGTTCCATCCATGCCAAAGATATTCGCTGCCAACGTGCCCAACCCTGGATCCCTCCTTCGGGCACTTGGGCCGCCAGACTCAAGAGCTCCGAAGCCGCAGGCCTAGGAGAAACGGGCTGGAAGAGCACGGCAAAGCTCCCAGATCTGGGGTAAATCCGAAGCAAATCACCATCATTTCTGGTTGATATATCTATATATATACTGTTAATAATGGTTATTATATGGTAAATATAATGTTATTATATGGTTAATGATCATGAATAATATGGTTTATCAATAATATCTGGTTGATATATCTATATATATAGTGTTAATGGTGGTTAATATATGGTTATTATATGGTTAATGATGGTTAATACTAATCTGGTTGGTGGTATACCTACCCCTCTGAAAAATATGACTTCGTCAGTTGGGATGATGACATTCCCAACCGAATGGAAAAATAAAATTCATGTTCCAAACCACCAACCAGATTTGATCAAGATACTAACTAGCTATATCATCATGAAGATTGAAACAGGTGGCCCTATTGATGAACCCAATATTGAAATGCTTCCCTACTGTGAGCGGATCATTGATAAGCTATATCCGATGTGTGAGTCCCGTCCACCTGGAACTGAGCATCCCCGAAAGAGGTTTTGAAATGAACAGATCCACCATATTCTAACCAGGTTTCTGGTGGGTATAGCGGAGGGGATTCAATAGGACCAACGGAGACAGAAATAAGACCCCAACCATCTTCATCTCAAAATACACGAGCTCAGCTTAACAACACGTTCATCCTTTGATCTCAGCAGATGTCATATATAAATCCAACCCCAAACCACTGGGAACCGCTCAGACCTTCCCCCCGGCCACTGCCATTGGTTGGCGCGCCTCGCATCCGGCGCCCGCTGCAGGCAGCTCTGCAGCAAGTTCTTCAGGCTCGGTAGGGTGGACTCCTGGGGCTTTGGAGGCGGGGGCGCAGGCAGAAAGATCATTCCAAATGGTATCCCCCCAATTAAACAATCTAGGGATTTATTAATCCAGGGTTGACATTAATCCCCAAAGGGTTGGATTTTTTCTGGTTGGTGGTGGTTTTAACTTTAACCATCTTGAGTCCATAGGACTTTTTTGGGGGATTTACCATCCTTGGGATATCCTGGGGATATATATATATAGTAATATAATATATATAATATATATATATAATATATAATATAATATATATATATACATATAGTCATAATGGTGATATACAAGCTAATACTGGTTGGTGGTTCAATAACCATATTGAAAAATATGAGTCCGTCAATGGGAAGGATGACATCTCATATATGAAATGGAAAAATAAAAAAATTTTGAAACCACCAACCAGTTTCTGATGATTGTTGCGATTTGAGTCCCGGTTCTGTTTCTGATGCCTTTACATTTTGGATCATGCTGGCCATTTTCGATGGCCAAAAGATGGGGCACCCAATGGTCAGACATAACCACATTGGAAACCACTACCACTCCCCATGCAGGGCTCCGGAATGGGAGGTGTCTGCTGGGATAGGCCGATCAGCCTGGGGAGGCGGCTGGGCAAATCCTCCGCGCACCAAACATCTTGGGGGATTCATGTGGAGAGGTCAACAAGGGATGAATGAATTTACACAGCAATAGTACAGCATACTAGTGATCAAGTATGTGCCTATCCTATACTATCAGGTGAGTTTACAGACAAATGATCACCAATGTATATAATATGGACTGATAAAATATGATCAAATTGCTGTTTGATTGATGTTAAAACATATAGAAAACAACACGCTATCTACATCTGTGAGCCGTGGGAAAGAAATGATGCACTTACTAAACCCAATCATTTTGTTGAAACTACCCCTTGTTGCTTCAGCTTGGTTTGCTTGCGTCCCCCAATCAATGCACGTCATGGCTGATTTTTGGAAAGGCCATTGATAAGCTAAAATTCCCGACTAGCCACATGTAATCTTCACCCTTTTAGTCAGGCGGGTCACTGCAAGATGTCAACAAGAGAACAATCAAAAAGCTCAACAGCCACCCGACTACCCCCAACAGCATTGGATATGTGTTGTCCACTCTTGCATGTCATAACCAACACCACGACCAAATATATTCATCCAACATCTAAACGTACAATCAAAGAGGACGAACACAGAATAGACACACAAATGCAACAAATCACGTAGCACACATCTAATCACAGTATGAATACCAAACGTTTAGGTTTCCATTTTTGGATTTGCTTAAGGACACCCCCCAACAAATAAAAAGTAACCCCTATAGATTCCCCAGACAGTGAATTTTCCTAGTGGGAAATAGAAAAACATCATCGACTCAGCAAATTCCAACAATGTTAAGTCATGTTAAGTCATAATCCCATTCATCTTCCATCATGTTACCCTCTGGTAAACGTTTACATAACTATGGAAAATCACCATTTTTAATGGGAAAACTCACTATAAATTATGGCCATTTTCAATAGCTATGTTAGTTTACCAGAGGGTAAGTCATAATCCATTCCATTATCCCATTACTAATTCATGAATATCCCATTGATTGTCCCACACTCCACACCAACCCCAGCCCAACCACCGCCACCACCACCACCACCGGGTGGGCTCCCGCGCTTCACGGCGGACAGCATCCCATCGATGGCGCCCTTCCCCCAGGGCGGCAGCGCCGTGGAGGACTCCAACGCCGTGCAGCCGAAGCTCCAGATGTCCGCCTGGAGCGAAGAAGTGTCGGGAGCTGGTGGTGGGACGTTCATTCATTGGCCATTCCAGGATCCTAAATTGGAGGTACCTACCGTATATAAGGCCTATGTAAGGCTATACCCCACAAAATATGGCCTTATCTGGCACAGTACCTCCAATTCAGGATCCTGGAATTCCCATTGATTCATCCAGCATTTTAAATATGACCCATATAAGACTCATAAGATCTCATTAAGACTACGTATAGTGACTATAGAATAAGTTGATCTTACAACATCTTATAACATCTGAGAACAAATAAACTCCGATGAATACTATAAAATTGAATGGAACTTATAACTCCTACGGGCCTGGTGGCTTGTGGGTGACTTTGTCCTTGATTTACAATCTTAAACCCATAATGTAGTCCGTGTATGTCCGTGTACTGTATAATGGGGTTGAGGAGCAATTGGTTGGAAACAGAGGGTCCGGCTAGGCACAATTATCGATGGACATCTCTCTGCCAACAAAAAGAAAAAATCTCAGTGGTAACAAGTGGAAAGTAGAAATTAACGCCATGCAACAAGTGGCAAGTCAATGGAACCTTCAATGACTTCCGCGACCATTGCTTGAGTACCACTGCATGCACACAACATGATCCAACATGATCCAACTTATTCCGAAGCAGTGCCGCATCATGGTATCACTGTCACTTTTCGGGTTTTATCTCCACCCCAGGCCATAGTTGCACCTTTCGGCCAAAACCTTGCTTCTCCAAGATGACCTGCGCCATGGTTTGGGCCAGGGACATTAAATAAGGCAGGATGTGTCCAAAGTTGCTGAAGCATGAGGATGGTTTGCTCCCCACCTTAGGTCAACCTGTTTGGCTACACCGATGAGGAAAAAAAACTCCGGAGAAATCATTGCGACTCGCAATCCAAGCCGACGGACAGACATTTTGGCCTCGCAAGCTCTGTCTGCTATGTTCAGGTGTCATACGAATTCATTCCAATTTACACCAACTATCACCAATTCATGTTGCAAAATGACAAATTCAATGCTTGTGGATTAGGGGTGTCCATCTCTGGAACAGAAATGGTTTGCTGAACAAACGTCATGCCGTGTAAGACGTAAAAAAAATGATAACATATGGGAGGTGGCTCAAAATACCAGTAATGACAGTAATGCGGCGATGTTCAGAACAAGCCCTTTGTATCTGGGAGTTTAAGCGCTGACGAGCCTCCGTGTACCAAGGCTTCCAGAAAGAACCACACAAAGAAAACTGCGAAACTGGAACGCACAAAGAACCGCAAAACACTCTTGCGGTGTCATGCTCAGGCATCACGATGAAAAAAAAAAACGAAGGCAGCGAGGCAAAGGCACCAAAGGACTGATTGGCACCCATTTCCATGTTGGGCCGTCGCATTCGGCCGAGGCACTGCCCATGAGGTTTCACTTGGTGCCGGAAACAAGCCGGGTGCATCTTCATGTCTGAGGGAAACTGACCTGGGGTCGGATGCGGCTTCGTGCTCAGTGGGAAACGACCATTGGCTCATCATGTCCGAGCTATCAGCCTCCAAAGAGAAGATTTGGGAGCTCTGATCTGACCCCTCTGCAGCCACAAATATCCAGCCTATGTACTTGCTTCGGTCCGGACAGTAGTAGCATGGTCCATAGCTAAGAAGCGCCCGTTCGATGTTGCAAATTCTCTCATCTCGCTCCCTCTTCATCTTCTGGCCCTGGAGTTTCCATAGCAAGAGCTCGGTAAAGGTTTCTCCCACCATGTCATAAGTAGGATTGCAAGGAGAACAGGATGCTTGCACAGCAACGTCTCCTCGTGCCGAGAGGAAATCTTCAATGACCATTTCATTGACCATATGCCCTGACTGACAGGCATCAGAAACAATGAGAAGGTATTTGGCTGTTCCCTTTAGTTTGGCCAAATCCCAGCACTGCAAAATATTCTGAAGCCTCAAGAAGCCATCATCAGACAGTTTCCAAAACCCAGCATGCCCATGGAAAATTCCGTAGAGAATGTGCAGATCACACTTGTTCGAGAAGAAATCCTGCAGTTTTCCTATAACATGATTGAAAGATAGCTTTCCACCATACACACATTCAGTTGCTACATTTGCCCTTCGAAAGAATTTACTCAACTTCTCTGCATTCTGCCTGGCACCCGGGATAGATTCCTCTCCAGGGCCTTCACAGGACAGCACGAGGGCCCGTCTTTGCAGCCCTGGGCTAGCCATGACTTTGTGGCTAACAAAATTTAAGTTCGAGCAAGAAATATACTGAGCAGTGGCAGGCAAATGTTGCACGAGGATGCCGCAAACATAAACGTCCGCTGCTCACCAATTCATTGGTTGCAGACAGGGTCCAAGAAAGTCTCCACTCACAGTGACATAAGATCCACATCTATCATAGATCTTTGCCCTGCAAATTTAGTTGCCCAGCTGTTGGGGTGTTGCAATCGCTGCTGGTTGGTGGTTTCAACCCATGACAGAATATATGCTTGTCACCTCGGGTAACCATCCGAAATCTTTTTTCGAACCATCAACTACAGATGAGCACTAGCTCGAATATACAAGCACAGAACGTTCAGAAGGACGACCTCCGACCTCTATGAGCGGCTTATTAAGATCCATATCGTCGGGGAGATTGCAAGAGGGAGTAATTAAGTAATCTTTGCTTTGAATTCCATGAACGGGTTTTAATTCCCTATCAGGATGTTCCACTTGCACAGGCCATTGGAAAAGCGCAAGAACATGCAAGAACTGTGACATTTAGATTTGCTTAAGGGAGGCCCAAATCCTTGAACAACCTACACACATCAACAGCCAACTCACTACATCCGCCTTAAAAAATGAGACCGCAGCAGGCAGCCTTTTCTTTTACTTGCTTTTCTCTTACCAGCTTTTCAAAATATGGCATAGCACAAACTACAGGATCTACAGGTGAGCACTAGCTCGAGCCTGCAAGCACAGAACGGTCAGAAGGCCAACTTTTATGAACGGTTTGCTAAAACATGTTAAAACCATTTATATAAAACCCATAATAACCTGTATTGTTGGGGGAGATACCTACAGAGAGCAATTTACGCTTTGAATTCCAGCATACCTATCAGGATGTTCGGTTTGCAGAGGCCATTGCAAAAGCGCAAGAACTATGACACTTATATAGATTTGCTAGGGGGGCAAAATCCCTTAAAAAAATCTAGGGATATCAACAGCCAACTCACTATCCCAGAAAACAATGAGACTCCAGCAGGCAGCCTTTTCTCTTATCTGCTTTGGCCTCAGGATGGAAAAGTATCGGGAACTGTGCAGACAGCCTTTGCTGAACTGCACTGCCTTCGCTGTACTGCAGCGCCTCGGATTTCGTGAAAGTGTAGTAGATAGCATGACCGCAAGACCAAATCTATCCAAATGTTATTCTAAATGTGAGCTGGCAGATGGAACGTTCAGGCAAATGGTTCAGCCAAAAAGGGGCGGTTCCAATAGCCTACTGTACAGGCGCCGGTTTGTTTGAGATCAGCCTTTTTTTAAAGAAACCCATTCTTCGGAGTACAAAGCAAGTCCCCCCAAAACCCAAAGCAAGGCTACAATCGACAGCTGCCAGAGCATAAAAACCAAACGTGCTTGGCGATAGCAGCAGACCATTCCAAGAATAGCTGACCACATGTGCACCCCATTCTGGTCGCACAATCACATAAGAATAAGAAGTTGATTCCACAAAATAACGCGTAGCACAATTCTCGGCACTTTAGCTTCATATCCTTTTTCGTTACAGACGGTGCCAAAAAATGCACCCGGGTGTGTGGGTCACCAGGCGCCCTAGTGAACACAATCTCCAGTTCCACCCCGATCTTGTCAGTCGGTGCCAAAATTTGCACCCGGCGGGTGTGTGTACCATCGGGTGTGGTTCCAGTCTGTTCGACAAGAAAGTCCTGTCCTCCAGACCTTGCATCCTCCAAGGCATTTAGGAGATCCCTCGAAGCAACTTCCCCACCTTCTTCCAACTCTACTCTGCGGCGACGTTCTGGTGACCCATGGCCGCCTATCTCTTCCTCCCCTGCTGGTGACCGCGGGCTGCCGATCTCTTCCTGCCCCGGTGGATCTGATGTTGGACTAAACGCATCCTCCTGTCCTGGTGGATGTGACCTCTGGCTGAATGTATCCTCTGAGGTGTCAGATCTCAGGGAGAGGCTTCGCGAAGAGCTAAAGTCTGCTCCATCATGTTCATCCACAAAAATCCAGCCTCTATAGTTGCTTCGATCTGGGCAGTAGTAACATGGTCCCAAGTTGCGGAGTGCTGGTTCGATGTGCACGAGCATGTCAATGCCTCGTTTGTTCGCACTGGTGCGCCCCTGCATGTTCCAAAGCAAATACTCCGTGAAGGTTTCTCCCACCACATCGCTAGTCACATTGCGACTGGAACAGGATGCTTGCGCAGCCACATCCGGCCGTGCTTGGCGGGCAGCCTCATCAACCATACGGCCAGACTCACAGGCATCAGAAACAATCAGAAGGTGTTGTGCTGTTCCAAGTTGTTTGGCCAAATCCCACTGCTCCAAAATGTCAGTAAGCCCAAGGGTGGTACCATCAGACAGTTTCCAAGAACCGGCATGGCCATGGAAGATGCCATACAGAACATGCACGTCGCAGTGTGTGGAAAAGAAATCCCTGATGTCCTCTTTGGCCCGGTCCAAGGTCAGCTTCCCTCCATAGACACATCTGGTAGGCACATTTGCCCTGCGAAAGAATTTGCTCAACTTCTCCGCGTTGTATCTGGCACCTGGGAGTGGTTCTTCACCAGGGACTTCACAAGACATCACCAGGGCCTGTCTTTGTGCTCGGTTGGCCATGACTTTGTGGCCAACATTCGGTTTGAGCAAGAAATGTCAACCTCAACCAGAACCATCATAGATCATCACTGGTTGGTGGTTTCAACCTACCCCTCTGAAAAATGATGGACTTCGTCAGTTGGGATTATGACATTCCCAACATATGGAAAGTGATAAAAGCCATGTTCCAACCACCAATTTTCATCAATCAGATCAAGATCTGGTAGCCCAGTTGCCCAACTGGTTGGGCAAGTAACAACCTGCCCCACACGGCCCACACTGTTGCTGCAGGCGATGGTGAAGTTCCCAAAGAGAAACACCGTCAGTATCCTTCAGCACATCCTTCAGTAATGCCCACACTTCGCCCAAACTTAGCTGCAACCATACTTTAACCATACTGAAGCTAAGAATTTACATAGATGTTAGATTCTGTTAGATGTCACTTTTCTATGTTACTGTTACCTGACAATCACCATGTTACATCCATTTGCAGGTGGTTTTATAACATGACAACACTTGGGGCTCCCAGTACCTCGGATGTGGTGGACCTTGTGGCGTTTGCACGTCTAGTGCCCAACCAAAACACAAGCCAATGCAACAAAATAACGCCACAATCTAACTCAAGCCTAGAAAGCTTTAGAAATAATACAGCCATCAACCTAACCCAAGACTAGAAACAAATTAGACATAGATGACATAGTGATCCACAAATTTCTACATCAATCTACCCTCTGGTAAACTAACATAACTATGGAAAATCACCATTTTTCATGGGAAAACTCACTATAAATGGCCATTTTCAATAGCTATTTTGACATAACCAGAGGGTAATCTGGTTAGACTCCAGCCCCAAGCTGCAGAAATCTCCACCTCTGGCGCCATCCAGGAGAAGGATCCGGTGGCGTGGAAGGAGGTGGACATATCCTGGATGCGCTTTTTAGCGACGTGGAGACCACGAAATGGGACCCAAACGCGTTTGGACATGACACTCAAATATAACGACATCTACTTATGAACATTATTCTGGGTAAATTATAGTATTTCACTAACCTGAATCTTGCGGCCATAAAAGGGGATGATTTCCTCTATGAACCATGATTCCAGGGCTCGGGAGAACAGTGAGGTCGTGATCAAATTTACCCAGATTATTCATCTTGTGCAATATTCTACAATCATATGATGTCTAATTCATGATGCTTTTAGATTCATACTTTTGAGTCTATCTGACAATAGGGATTATTCATTGTGAACCATACTCATGTGGAGAGTATCTGCTGTAAATCCCAACTTGGGTGTGGAAGACGGGCGAGAGGGAAAGACTCAATAAATTTCAAAAGCACGGCAGGTGAAGGTCACTCCAAACTTTAGAAATTATAACTCGTTGGTGGTTCAACCCCCTGGAAAAATATGAAAGTCGGATGGATCATCATCCCAACTATTGGGAAAAATAAAATTCATGTTCCAAACCACCAACCAGTTGAGAAGTCATCAGCAGTGTTAGCCAATAGATCTCGCGCATCGGATAGGGCTCAGAGAGACCAAGTGCAATACCCCTTTTTGCCCTGAAAATCACGACGGGAGTCACTACGGTCATCTACGGTATTTTCCCTGATGCATCACCAATTGGAATTAGTAGTGCTTTGAGTTTTTTTTCATTGTCAGGAACTGTGGCTGATAACTCTGGTCAAGTCCCAGATTCATGGGTTATTCCATTCCCATATGCTCCATGTATGGAATATTTGCCCTACTACAAAATCACCCAACTTTGTAGTTAAATATACCATACATGGAGCATCTGGGATTTATGATTCATAACTGGATCAACTAAGCCGACAAACACTAACCAGGCTGTAAGTCATGTGAACCCCATCTCATATATTGTTGGTGAATGATGTGATATATAGATATAATTATATAGGTTCCTATAGGTGATGATATGGAAATTCTATGGCAACCATCTGAAGTTCTATATAATCTTCTATAAGTCTATATTCCATAACTGGTTGGTGGTTTTAACAATCTTGAAAAATATGAAAGTCAATGGGAAAGATTTTTCCATATATTATAAAAATATGTTCAACTTGTTCCAAACCACCAACCAGTATGTATATATGTATATATATATATATATATCCAGCATCTCCCCATGATATGTGTTTATCCTGGGTTAGCCTTAACAATCTGGAGTTATCCTCCTACTGCTGGGCGATCCTCCCACAGGCCGCCGGACATAAACTTGCTTGGAACAGCCGAAGTCGGCCAACTTCACATTGAAGTCCAAGTCCAAAAGCCTTGAATCAAACCGATGGCGAGGCTACTAATACAACGGGTGGGGTTAAAAGATGGAATAGAAAGTGCCAAAAGTTGCACAAACGCTGATTATCCGTAAGTTTGAGTGATTGGGTTGATTGTACTATCCCAAACGCTTGATTATCTGATTTGTTCTTCTGATTGGGTTGATCACTATGACGTTCTGATCATGTGACCTCTGCAAAAACTTATGTGCACAAATACCAATTTTAAAAAAACAGTGGCATGCTTGAAACCACCAGCCAAGCCCTTGGTTGTATCATGTTTTATCTTCTTTTTTTGGCATCATCCCATCTTTGAATTCTTTGCCATTAACCACCCCCAAAATCTCCAACTTTGACCTCCCCACCCATTGTTGGGACACCTATTGACTGAGGACCCATCCCTCAGCCCCCGTTTTCCAACCAGGCAACACGTTGGCACTCTTAATGTCCCGGTGCACCACCACAGGGTTGCGCGTGTGCAAATAAACGAGCCCTGAGGTGCCAGGAATGTGGTAAAAATGCTATGCCATAAACCTGTACCATAAACCATCCCCAATATATATCCCAATATGTGAAATTATATATATATAGACACAGGGTTGGATTTGAAGTATCACCAAATGGAAGGTGTGTGGCATTGGGTTTACCACATTATTGTTGTTCATCTCCCCGTTCCATGCTGGTTACATCCCATTATCATTTGATTGGTGGAATGCCAAATACAGTGATGAACCAATTGAGGTACCTACCATGGAAGTACCCGGAAGATGTAAGCTCCGTGCAAGGCCTACAACAAGGAATCTTCATTGAACATATATTTGATATGTGGCACCTGACCTACATTGAACGGACCATTCAGTAGATGTCCAAGTACCACGTAGCTTGATGCTTCAGTTACAAGCGAAGGTAACCACGAGTCTGATCCCGATACAAAGTATGCATAATGAATCTCAATTGCAACTTCAAAATCTGTCAAAATGGTCGACAAGTCTAGCGAAACCAAAACACATCAAACCTTCTTGCAATTGGTCCAGTAGACTGCGCTTTGATCCAGCATAATTCCATCATTTTAGAGTAGTAGTCTTCAGCTACTAGCAATACCTTATATAGACCTCCCATGACCGAAGTGTTTCATACAGATACCTTCACACCTAGGCAGCTTCACCCCACGCCTTGCAGCATTCCGAGGATGGTGTTCCGAAGCAAGGCACCTCAAAGCAGGGCTGTGAGAACTGGATCTCCTGTTCCAGGTGTCCTCAGACCCTACCCTCTGGTAAACTGTCACCTAACTATAATATGGAAAATCACCATTTTCAATGGGAAAATCCACTATAAATGGCCATTTTCAATAGCAAACTGTTAGTCATTACCAGAGGGTATGTGCAAAATGCTCCATGTATGGACCCTGGCTCATCATCATTTCCTCCGCTGAATAGACGAAATTCCGGATCAAACATGGAGGAGTTCCATGAATTTCCATCAATCCTATGACTGTTTCGAGCACCTTATTTGCCAACCAAGTCAACCAGCACCAAAAGAAATTGGAGGCAAAGACCAGCATGTAGGGCCCACAAAGTCCCCCTGTTTCTCTCTTTGGAATAATCTTCCTCATCCACTGGGCCAACATATCTCCGTTCTGTGTATGTGTGTGTGTGTGTCTCCGCCTTTTTTTCCTCCATGTTTTCCCCACCATCTCCTGACTTTTGTTGGTTACTGGGGGTTGTGTGGTTTCAAATCTCCACGATTTATTTGAAGGGAGTAACAACCCACGGAACACCAACGCCCCTCCAAGATCTGCCTTCAAGAGCGCCAAACTCCTTCAAAAGCTTGGCCAAGGACCTACAGGTCAGTAGGTCAGTGGTCTTTAACAGCTGTTGTCTTGGCTGGGGCGTGCTCCCTGGCCCCCCGTCTGACATGGTAATGAATTATATATGGGTGGGAAGTCTCCACTTCTCATCCTCGAAACCTATTCGCCTCTAGCACGTTCATTTCATTTATTCATTAAGTCCCTTTGCCTTGTACCGCATGGCCGCAGTTATGAGTCGAGAGACCACAAAAGAACATCCCAAAACTGTAGCAGCAAAAAATCCAACAACTACAAAAAAACATCTTTATTCCAAAACCCCAATTTGCCAGATTTTATCACAATATCCAGCACAACATGTGCCCCCTCGGCCCCCAACCCTCCCTCCGCGAGCTCCATAAATATGTACCTCCGCCAGCCACCAGGAGGATGTTCAGGGGCAGCGTGCGTGTTGGGACTGAACGCCTTGATATACCAAGTCATTCTAAAGTGGCTGGTTGGTGGTTTCAACCCCTTTGAAAAATATTAGTCAATGGGAAGGATTATCCCATATATTATGGAACATATAAAATGTTTGAAACCACCAACCAGGTGGGATAAAATTGATAAGCCTGATAAGCTTTGGATGTAGCTGAACCCTTTGTCCAAATGACTGACTGATTTCGACATGTCAAGAAATAACGAAGTCTAGGGAAACAAACATCACCTGAAACCTATGAAACCTATGAAGCATCCTGTACCATGTTGGTGTCTTCCTGGGTCTTTCGCTTCAGGTCATTAGGTACCTCCAACCGAGACACCTCTTCACCCCTCATTCACCATCCGGCATCCCATCCATCTCTGCCCCAATCGTCGCACAAGGTTCCTCCTGTGTATTCGTGACCCAGGTAACCTCGGGCCACAGTGGAGACCGAGGTAATGTATGTCTCAGCCATGAAACCAGAAACACTGGAAACGGGAAATGTCACGGTGGTGGAAACCAGTTCCATGTTGCGTGATTGAAGGATCAAGTCCAGCATTTGCGGGTCATTGGGCATGCTGCGTGTCATTGTAATAACCCCCAAAAGTTGGGATGGAACCCCGTGACCCTTGCCAACAAGTATATGGTTATATGGTTACAAGATAATTATATATATATATTTATTATATGTATGTGTGCGACTGGAACTGCACCTACCCAAGACAATTCGACTGCTGGCAAAACTCAGCTGCTGCCAGGGGACAGATGATGTTAGGATGCCGCAGCGACCTGAGAATATCCTTGGTCGACGGAAAGCTTGGCAAGCTGCTGGCCATTAAAGGTCCACTGTTCATCCATATGTCATATGTTGTGAGATACCATAGTGAGGTTCATGACTGTATGCCTATGTATCCTCTATTGTATCTATATATTATAAATATGATAATAAATGATAATGATACGTCCAAAGAACAATGATGCATTTAAAGTTGTGACCCGTTCCGGCCTTTCTGCTTCCCTGAAACTAGGCACATGATGTCGATTTTTTTGTTGGGACCTGCGTTCTCCTTGGACTTCCCTTAAGATACCTAGTTGAAGCAGTTGGATGAACATCCCAGTGAATGGTTCACAACCATGCTTATGATCCTGTTCCTCGTATAAATAAAGCAACTACACACACATTTATATCGTATGGGATAGCCTCATTCTGAGACTTAACAAATATGTACCACGGATCTAACAGTCTTACCATATCTGAACCACCTATCAGATCTATCATCCCTTCACTTCACATCCCAACACCTTAAATCTCACCACAGAAGACCAAAGCGTCGAGCTCTTCTCGTAACTTCGCCAGGTACTTCCGATCCTCCTCATCGCTCTGAGTCACCTCTGCACGGAGATTGCTTCTTCTGAAAGCGAGCACTGAGATACTTTGGCATTATTGTTTAAAAGATACGTGTTGTATCATGTCCCATAGGATCCATGTATGCTATACATGGTAACATTTACCATCAATATACCCCCAATGTTAGCATATATAGCATACATGGATCCTATGGGTGTTGTAATTAAAATGGCACATCATGGATATGTGTGCATTTTTTTTCTACAAAATGCATCAAAGATACATTCCATCGAGAAATGGTGACATCATGTTATGAAACTGCCCACTTGCCCTACACATGTGACAACCCCCAAAGAGGTCAAAGAGATTCAAAGAGTATATCAAAAACGGATTGAACTTATGAGATTTTCCAAAACATTTCTTAAATGAACATGCATTTGATACATTGCAATTAGAATGGCAACAGTTTTTTTTTAATCTTTCAGTCTCAAGAACAGAAAGCAATTCCATTTATTTCCTAACTATTTGCTATGAATGCCACAAGAAAGTTAAAGATCAACCAACGGTTGGCCCATTTGTTGTGACATCTCAAGTGTCAAAATCTGAATTCCAAGTCCTGTAGTCGAGATTCAAGATCTTAATGTCAAGATAAGCGTCATGACTCTTCGGTATAATCAAACGGCATTGGAGAAAATCCACTATTTACAAATGATTTTCCGTATTTCAATCCTCCACTGAGAAAAAAAAAGATTTCCCATTGACACGTTTGATTGTCAGAGGGTGTATCATCAGTATCCCGTTGTATCCCGTTTACCTCACTATATTCTCATGAAATAGAGTACCACTAATACCACCCTTTTTTGGTGCTTAATTCCTATTGTTGGTGGTTAAACCAAACATAAAGTCACCATAAAGTCATAAAAAATCACCATGATCTTCCCATTCTATTCCCATATAAAAACCCTAAATAACCCTTAAAACTCCCCATTTTTTCAGTGTTTTCTTAGGGCTTCCCATGGCTTTCCCACAACGCCATCCGCCCCCACGGAGCCACCGTGGACTTCTTCACGGCGAAGATGAAGCCGTTGTCGACGTCCAGCGCACGCGCCACGGAGCCGTAGGAGCCGTGGCCTGGCGGCCACGAGAGCTATGGTTTTAATGGTACATATAAAGCTATAGTATATAAAGCTATAGGTTTATATACCACCTACTATAGGTTTATATGCTATAATGTTTGTATACTATAGGTTTATGTATAAATCACTATACCATTGGTCTCATGCACATATAAAAACCAGTTCTCACACAATGTGAGGCACCCGTTCGATAGCTAAGTTGGTGAACATAACTCCAATTTCACTATGGTTAATGGTACGCAAATAACGAACTAGTTACTGGGGCGAATCTAAACCAACTTATAACTGGGGCACCTCACATTGCATGTATAGACCTATAGTATATAAACCTTATAGTTATGACTAATCACTGTTCTTCTGTCTAGTGGTCTATAATATATTTTGGGGCCCCAGTTCGTTAGCTAAGGTGGTTTATAACTTAATTACTATATATAGGGTTTATGGTACGTAAATAACTGTATTTAGATGGGGTTATAAACCAACTTATAACTGAAGGGCCCCATCCTGTAGGTGATTGTCCCATAAAAACCTCCTTTTATAGCGTGTTTTTTCCAGTGAGGCCACAGCACCCCCAAAAAAGAAGATGAAAAAGTTGGATACCTGGATTTTTTCCGAGGAGACATTATCCATACCACTGTTCTATCTTTTCGGTGGTCCCTATCATATATTACCGGTTGGTGGCTTTAACCAATCCCAAAGATATTAGTCAATTTGGATCATGATCCCCAACAGGGTGGGAAATGTGTTTTTTTGAAACCACAAGGTACGGACCCACCGTCAAAACTACATAAGGTACCAAGAGATCTGTAGTTTTTATTGTAATACAAGGTAGATACCCTTGAAATACGAAGGTACCGTCCTTTCTATTTCCCACTTCAAGGTATCAAGATGTAGCAACAGATCATGACCAAATATTGCTGATCTGCTAATCTTGGACTATAGCTACCGGGCAAACAACGTATTGCTTAGCTCGCTAGTTCCGCATATTAAAGCCAAAGTCACCCGCTGACATACTCAACAAAAAACAATAAAGCAAACCAAATAAAGGTCATGTTATCATATGTTATCAAATGATATACTACAAAATACTACAAATATCCCATTCACAACCGGGGAAACTAACTATGGCTAGGACTGTAACCATGAACTCCCAGGCATTGCAAACAACAGCGATGTTTTTTGTGGAGAAAATCATCTGTAAATGAATGTCAGCGGTGGACTTTCCACTATCATTACTAGCTTCCTTGGAATTCCAAAGGATATCCACTAGATCGTGCATCCAAACATTTTCCCTATTGAAACATCGTTCCCTATGGAAAAATATTGCCAGCTTAATTAGATTGACGAAGGATCTTCACCAACTACCCTCTGGTAAACTAACATACTGTAGCGAACCGGAAAATCATCCTTCATAATAGGTACATCAACTATCAATAGGCCATGTTCAATAGCTATTTTGACATAACCAGAGGCTCATTATGGATTAATCACCATTAAATCACCATTTTCCTATGGTTTTCCTATGGTTTTCCTATGGTGTTCCTATGGTTTTCCTATGGTTTACCAGGCCGGGTCAATCACCAGCACTGACCGCACCTATGGAGGCACCTGAGCGCCAATTCTGTATTATCCTGAGCTGCAACAACCGCATCGCAGCTGGCGGATTTCCAGCAGGAACCCTGGCTACAAGGTGGTGCCTCCAAGATAGTGTTCAGTTGGTTTATAAGTCCAATAACTATGGTTTATGGTATTTATAACTATAGTTACTGGGGCTTATAAACCAACTTATAACTAGGGGGCCCCACATTGTAGATCACTGCTCTCTTTACGCTGCGAAAAAATTGGGGAGTCAAATCCGGTGTTTCGGCCCCATCCTTTTGGTAGATTGGTGGTTTTAACCATAAATTATGGTTAAATCACCATTAGATGATGGTTACCCTCTGGTAAACTAACATAACTACGGAAAATCACCATTTTCAATAGCTATGTTTGTTTACCAGAGGGTAAATCACCTTTTACCAGTTGGGATTATTATTCCCAATGTATAGAAAAATTAAAAAAATCCAAACCACCAATCAGTTTTGGTATACCCTCTGGTAAACAAACGTAGCTATGGAAAATCACCATTATTCATGGGTAAATCCACTATAAATGGCAATTTTCAATAGCTATGTTAAATTACCGGAGGGTATATTGCTGAAGATACGGAGAGAAATTGCCGTGGGCCCAAGTTTTTCCAAGGACAGGTACCGTCAAACCTGGGTCAATCCGAGGAAGTCCTGGGACAACCATCCCCTCCATCCGGTCCTCTGGGTTTTTGCTTCAGCAGCCATTAAAAACATGAAAACTGGTTGGTGGTTGACCTACCTACCCCTCTGAAAAATGATGGAGTGAAAGTCAGTTGGGATGATTTTCCATTCCCAAATAATATGGAAAGTCATAAAATTCCATGGTTCCAGTCACCACCAACCAGAAAATTCATATCGTGTCCGAATCTTTCAAAACCCCAACTCTAGTGGATGAACCAATGGAAAATCACACATCAAGACAAACAATCGTTTTGTCAAGCTGCTTTAGCTAAGGTCACATAAGACTCAAATATATATATATATATATATCATTAATACCCTCATACTTCCCCAAAATGATCCGTTTACATCCTAATTTCGAGAAATTGGTCATTCCCATCAAAACACCAATCTCGGATATCTTGGATTTGTCCAAGGGACCCCAAGCAATAAAACATGTTATCCATTGTTATCCCACAAAAAAGGTTCACCCATTTTCGTGTCTCCAGCAAGGAGCAAGCCATACATCTCAATTGGATGGTCGAAAGCCCAAGAAATCCAAGAAATCTCCCCCCGAAACCCAATTAATTTAGGTTTATAGTAATTTATAGTTTTTGTTTTTTAATGATGATTATGAATTGGTTCAATTGTTTAATTAATATTCACCTAACATCCATTGAACCAATTCATAATCATCTTAAAAAAAAACAAAAACTATTATAAATGACTATACTTGATGGATAACCCACCACTAACCCAATTACAAACATCATTAAAAAAACTATAAAGAAACTATAAATGACTATAAATGACATATAATCATCATCAACCATGTCATCGTTTATAATCATTAATAGTTTCAACCACATTAAACCACATTATGGGTTCTTATAATCATTAAATGATGATTAAATCACCATCTGGTTGGTGGTCTGAAAAATATCTGTCAATGGGAAGGATTATCCCATATATTATGGAAAATAAAATTCATGTTCCAAACCACCAACCAGATGATGGTTAAATCACCATTAAATCATCATTATACTTATCATTATGTTTTTTTTTAAAAAAAAAACTATATAAGGAAACTATAACTGATTATATAATTACACCATTAGATGGTTAAATCACCATTATAGTTATAGTTGTTAAATATAGTGAAGGTTAAAATGATTATTATAGAAAATCATTATAAATGATTACTATAAATGATGGTTAAATCACCATTAGATGGTTAAATCACCATTATAAAATGATGAAATAAATGATTAATCACCATTAGATGATGGTAAAATCACCATGAACCCACATTAACCCACCATGTCATCAACCAACCAACGCTATCGTCTCGGCCAAGTGTCAGGTGTGCCCCTGGGGTGGACGCTGAGGTGCTGGGCGTGTGCACCGAGGAGGGACCGCCCGGCTCCGGCCTTGGGCATGGGAAGAAAGCTCCAAAGGGAAGGGAAAACCATAGGAAAACCATGGGAAAACCATGGGAAAATATGGGAAAACCATGGGAAAACCATGAAAACCATGGAAAAACCATAGGAAAATATGGAAAAATATGGAAACATATGGAAGAAATATGGGAAAACCATGGGAAAATATGGAAAGGGAAAATCTGATATTTTGGCATTTGATATATTTGTATTCGTATACTATGTGGTTCATGGTGTTTAGAGTTGCTTTTTACAGGCTTTGACTTGCTGTTGATCTGTTCTGTGGTTTTTAAGCATTCTCAGGATATGACTGTGTCTTTCTTTGTTTTTAAACAGCTGTCTTGTTCTTTTCATGAGTAGTGAAGTGAGAATGGATTTACAGCCAGCACTAGATTCCTTCACGCGCACATTGTATTAATCTATAACATGCTACAATATGCTCTTTCCTTATTTAGAGTACTTAGTTGAAGCACGTGTCGTGGCTATTCAGTTATCAAGTGAGTTGGTCCCCAATGAATTGTATGCTGGATATTTCAAACGAAACTACCATCGCCTGAAACATGTTTTGACACTCGCGAGTAACGATCGCCCATGGGACTGAGTCTTTTTTGAGGTTGCATCGGCCCCACAAAAAGTGTCCTTTCCGGATCATGTTTGTTTGATGAGTGTCACCTTCTACAACACATATTTGATGAGCACCTTCATTATAGAGGTAACATAATAGTATCCATCAAATATTTACAGAAGTATACTATAACATAATCTATAATCACCTTTTATAATCATCTGGTTGGTGGTTCCAATCCCTCTGAAAAAATTAAAGTCAGTTGGGATGATTATTCCCAATAGATGGAACAAATGCTCCAAACCACCAACCAGTCATACTATAATCTATAAGGTGCTTATCCCAAACATCTCGGTCTCTAAGGCTTGTTTGTCATTGCCACATCTGGATCAGTCCAGTTCTCCAGTTCCGGCTAGGGAGCTTCCTGGGGTGAACCACCAAGTAAATAATCTCCTGAAAATCAGCGTGAATCCCATAGTCATCCATTCAAAATGATGGTTAAATCACCATGAAAACCCACCATGTCATCAACCAACCTTTAATATCATTTAATCATCATCAATCCCATTCTCATCTCATGATTGTCTGAATTATTCGCATTACCCTCTGGTAACTATAATATATAGCTATATCCATTTAGTTATAGATGCACTATTCAAAATGATGATTTTCCATTTCGCAAACGGTTACATTGCCAGCGGGTACCCTCTTGTAAACTAACATAGCGAACTGAAGAATCACCATCCTTAATGGGTAAATCAACGAACTAAATGGGCCATTTTCATCCATTTTCAATAGCAATCTTAGCTTACCAGAGGGTAAATCCTAATAAATCCCACTATATTCCCACTAAAATCCTATGAAATCCCATTGAACAGCATTAAATCCCCATTCAAATCCTATTAAATCCCAAGAAATCCCATGAAATTCCCATTAAAATCCTATAAAATCCGAATAAATCCCATGAAATTCCCATCAAACCTTTCATGAAATCCCACAAAACCTGGGTTTTCGCTGAGTTTCTCCATGGCCATCGCTGGATGCTGGGCTTCCGCACAAGCTCTCAGGTCCCGAACTGAGGGGCGACCCGGGGAACTTCAAGGATCGGCCCTGCCACGGAATAGCCATCACTATGGGAATACCCGGCCTGGTAAACTGTTACATAACGAACTGGAAAATCACCATTATTATGGGATTTATTGGGAATTATTGGGATTATATTAGGATTTTAAGGGAATAATATTGTATAGGATCTAGTTGTATATAATCTTCTATAAGACTATATTGACTATATTCCATAACTGGTTGGTGGTTGACCTACCCCTTTAATAGGATTTAATGGGAATTTCATGGGATCTATTGGGATTTAATAGGATTTTAATGGGAATTTCATGGGATTTATTGGGATTTAATAGGATTTTAATGGGAATTTCATGGGATTTATTGGGATTTAATAGGATTTTAATGGGAATTTCATGGGATTTATTGGGATTTAATAGGATTTTAATGGGAATTTCATGGGATTTATTGGGATCTTAGTGGGAAATGTGGGAATATAGTGGGATTTATTAGGATTTACCCTCTGGTAAACTGTTACATAACTATGGAAAATCACCATGTTATAGCTGGGTAAATCCACTATCAATGGCAATTTTCCAGTTCGCTATGTTAGTTTACCAGAGGGTAATATTGTAGGATTTAATGGGAAATTCATGGGATTTATTGAGATTTAATAGGATTTTAATGGGAATTTCATGGGATTTATTGGGATTTAATAGGATTTTAATGGGAATTTCATGGGATTTATTGGGATTTATTGGGATCTTAGTGGGAAATGTGGGAATATAGTGGGATTTATTAGGATTTACCCTCTGGTAAACTGTTACATAACTATGGAAAATCACCATGTTATAGCTGGGTAAATCCACTATCAATGGCAATTTTCCAGTTCGCTATGTTAGTTTACCAGAGGGTAATATTGTAGGATTTTTTTAATGGGAATTTCAGGGATTTATTGGGATTTTTTAATAGGATTTTTTTTTATGGGAATTTCATGGGATTTATTGGGATTTTAATAGAATTTTAATGGGAATTTCATGGATTTAATGGGATTATTGGGGATTAGTGGGGAATGTGGGAATATAGTGGGATTTATTAGGATTTACCCTCTGGTAAACTGTTACATAACTATGGAAAATCACCATGTTATAGCTGGGTAAATCCACTATCAATGGCAATTTTCCAGTTCGCTATGTTAGTTTACCAGAGGGTAATATTGTAGGATTTAATGGGAAATTCTTGGGATTTATTGAGATTTAATAGGATTTTAATGGGAATTTCATGGGATTTATTGGGATTTAATAGGATTTTAATGGGAATTTCATGGGATTTATTGGGATTTATTGGGATCTTAGTGGGAAATGTGGGAATATAGTGGGATTTATTAGGATTTACCCTCTGGTAAACTGTTACATAACTATGGAAAATCACCATGTTATAGCTGGGTAAATCCACTATCAATGGCAATTTTCCAGTTCGCTATGTTAGTTTACCAGAGGGTAATATTGTAGGATTTAATGGGAATTTCATGGGATGTATTGGGATTTAATAGGATTTTAATGGGAATTTCATGGGATTTATTGGGATTTATTGGGATCTTAGTGGGAAATGTGGGAATATAGTGGGATTTATTAGGATTTACCCTCTGGTAAACTGTTACATAACTATGGAAAATCACCATGTTATAGCTGGGTAAATCCACTATCAATGGCAATTTTCCAGTTCGCTATGTTAGTTTACCAGAGGGTAATATGTAGATTAATGGGAATTTCATGGGATGTATGGGATTTAATAGGATTTTAATGGGATTCATGGGATTTATTGATTATTGGATCTTAGTGGGAAATGTGGGAATATAGTGGGATTTATTAGGATTTACCCTCTGGTAAACTGTTACATAACTATGGAAAATCACCATGTTATAGCTGGGTAAATCCACTATCAATGGCAATTTTCCAGTTCGCTATGTTAGTTTACCAGAGGGTAATATTGTAGGATTTAATGGGAATTTCATGGGATGTATTGGGATTTAATAGGATTTTAATGGGAATTTCATGGGATTTATTGGGATTTATTGGGATCTTAGTGGGAAATGTGGGAATATAGTGGGATTTATTAGGATTTACCCTCTGGTAAACTGTTACATAACTATGGAAAATCACCATGTTATAGCTGGGTAAACCCACTATCAATGGCAATTTTCCAGTTCGCTATGTTAGTTTACCAGAGGGTAATATTGTAGGATTTAATGTGAATTTCATGGGATGTATTGGGATTTAATAGGATTTTAATGGGAATTTCATGGGATTTATTGGGATTTATTGGGATCTTAGTGGGAAATGTGGGAATATAGTGGGATTTATTAGGATTTACCCTCTGGTAAACTGTTACATAACTATGGAAAATCACCATGTTATAGCTGGGTAAATCCACTATCAATGGCAATTTTCCAGTTCGCTATGTTAGTTTACCAGAGGGTAATATTGTAGGATTTAATGGGAATTTCATGGGATGTATTGGGATTTAATAGGATTTTAATGGGAAATTCATGGGATTGAATGTGTAGGATCTAGTTGGCTAAATTGATCACCATAAAAAATCTCCATGATCTTCCCATTCTATTCCCATGAATTCCCTAAATAAGCCTCTGGTTGGTGGTTGACCTACTCCTCTGAAAAATATTAGTTAATGGGAAGGATTATCCCATAGATTATGGAAGATAAAAAATGTTTGAAACCACCAACCAGTATTGTAGGATTTCGTTCGCTAAATTGATGTAGAACTAGCTTAACAGTTAACTGTCACATACTGTTAGGTTTATGGTAGATAAATCAAATCTAGAGCTGGATGGGTTTATGATTCTTTATAGACTATATAACTATATAACTTGTAACACGGTACCATAGGGCACCACCCTAAGTATCAACCACAAGCCAGTTCCGAGATGTTGAGGCCCAAACATCTTGGACACTGGCTGCAATTGTTCTTGCGACCCGTTAGGGGGGCCCTGACCCTCTGAAATGTCAATGATGGAGGAAACATTACTGGTTGGTGGTGCAATAACCATCTTGAAAAATATGAAAGTCAATGGGAAGGATTATCCCATATATGAAATGGAAAATAAACAATTCTGGTTGGTGGTATACCTACCCCTCTGAAAAATATGACTTCGTCAGTTGGGATGATGACATTCCCAACTGAATGGAAAGTCATAAAATTCTATGGTTGCAAACCACCAACCAGATTAGATCTCACGAAGGGTTTGAAAGTCTGGAAGTTTGTCACGATAGTTCTCAACTTGGTCACCTTGAGAGATCCCATAGTGACTCAACAAAAACCACCATTTATAGTGGAAATGACCATAGAAATAGTCGATTTTCCCGTTAAACATGGTGATGTTCCATAGCTATGTTAGATAAATATGATCTGGTTGGTGGTGCAATAACCATCTCGAAAAATGATGGAGTTCGTCAATGGGAAGGATAAAAACCCATATGTTATATATGAAATGGAAAAGAAAAAATGATTTGAAACCACCAACCAGGAAAGATTGAAAGGACAAACAAGCTGACCAGCAAAATTGGGAAAAAAAAACTAAGTAGAGTCTCAGCAACCTGCCGTAAATTAAAAATCTGAACTGAAACCGTTTTGGGATAGTTCCCTCTTCTGCATACAAGTCAGACCTCCCACAAAGGCAGACTACTTGTAGAGCTTTCAGTGGGGCATATTTTATCTTGAGTAACTTCTGAAAGTCACCAAGTGTATGAAGTGGATTGAAATTCAACTTATTCCAACTTGTGCCCCAATGCCATCCATTTCCAACAGATTACCCACGAGGAAATCAACAGTCCTCTGCCGGAAAAATTGTCACCAAACTTTGGCCCATCCCCCAAGTGAATGGTATACATACCACAGGATGGGGCCCCCCAGTTACAGTGGGAGACCAGCAGTTAGAATTTGGAATCAATGGATTTCCTTTTAACCTAAAAAATCCAGGATTATTTTTTTTTACGACAGTTAGAATTTCCCGAAAAAAAAAACACCACAGATAGAATATGAACATATTCACAAAGAAAACAAACAAATTTTACCGTACCAACCGACCTTATTGAAAACTTTGGCCAACACAATCTACTGCATGTGTCTCTTTCAGCATGTTGGAAAACGGGACAGAACCCATGCAAGAACAAACATGGTGAAAATTGCATTGCGCAAGTTGGTTGCTGGTATTTTGTGCGGTTGTGTGGTGCTGCTGGTTCTGGTGGTGAAGTGAGTGATGGAAAAAAACCATCCAAACACATCCATATTCTAACTGCACTTTTCACCACCAGAATTCACAAAGAAAACAAACAAGTTTTACCGTACCAACCAACCTTATTGAAAACTTTGACCAACATAATCTACTGCATGTGTCTCTTTCAGCATGTTGGAAAACAGGACAGAACCCATGTAAGAACACACATGGTGAAAACTGCATTGCGCAAGTTGGTTGCTGGTATTTTGTGCGGTTGTGTGGTGCTGCTGGTGTTGGTTGCGAAGTAAGTGAGGGAAAAAACCATCCAAACCTATCCATATTCTAACTGCACTTTTCACCACCAGAGTTCAAAAAGAAAACAAACAAGTTTTACCGTAGCAACCGACCTCGGGAAAACTTTGGCCAACATAATCTGCTGTAGGTGTATCTTTCAGCATGTTGGAAAACAGGACAGAACCCATACAAGAACACACATGGTGAAGATTGCATTGCGCAAGTTGTTTGCTGGTATTTTGTGCGGTTGTGTGGTGCTGCTGGTGTTGGTTGCGAAGTGAGTGATGAAAAAAAATCCAAACCTATCCATATTCTAACTGCACTTTTCACCACCGGAATTCACAAAGAGTACAAACAAGTTTTACCGTATCGACCGACCTCGTGAAAGCCTTGACCAACATCGTCTACTGTACGCGTTTCTGTCACCACGTTCGAAAACAGGACAGGATCCATGCAAGAACAAATATGGTCAAAACTGCATTGCGCAAGTTGTTTGCTGGCATTTTGTGCGGTTGTGTGGTGCTGCTTGTTTGTTGCGAAGTGAGTGAGGGAAAAAAACCATCCAAACCTATCCATATTCTAACTGCACTTTTCACCACAAGAGTTCACAAAGAAAACAAACAAGTTTTAAAGTACCAGCCAACCTCGGGAAAACTTTGGCCAACATAATCTGCTGTATGTGTCTCTTTCAGCATGTTGGAAAACAGGACAGAACCCATGCAAGAACAAGCATGGTGAAAATTGCATTGCGCAAGTTGTTTGCTAGTATTTTGTGCGGTTGTGTGGTGCTGCTTGTTGGTTGCGAAGTGAGTGATGGAAAAAAAAACATCCAAACCTATCCATATTATAACTGCACTTTTCACCACCAGAATTCACAAAGAAAACAAACAAATTTTACCGTACCAACCGACCTTATTGAAAACTTTGGCCAACACAATCTGCTGCATGTGTCTCTTTCAGCATTTTGGAAAACAGGACAGAACCCACGCAAGAACAAACATGGTGAAAATTGCATTGCGCAAGTTGTTTGCTGGCATTTTGTGCGGTTGTGTGGTGCTGCTGGTGTTGGTGGTGAAGTGAGTGATGAAAAAAAACAATCCAAACACATCCATATTCGAACTGCATTTTCCACCACCAGAATTTACAAAGAAAACAAGCAAGTTTTACCGTACCAACCAACCTTATTGAAAACTTTGACCAACATAATCTACTGTATGTGTCTCTTTCAGCATGTTGGAAAACAGGACAGAACCCATACAAGAACACACATGGTGAAGATTGCATTGCGCAAGTTGTTTGCTGGTATTTTGTGCGGTTGTGTGGTGCTGCTGGTGTTGGTTGCGAAGTGAGTGAGGGAAAAAAACCATCCAAACCTATCCATATTCTAACTGCACTTTTCACCACCAGAGTTCACAAAGAAAACAAACAAGTTTTACCGTACCAACCGACCTCGGGAAAACTTTGGCCAACATAATCTGCTGCATGTGTCTCTTTCAGCATTTTGGAAAACAGGACAGAACCCATACAAGAACAAGCATGGTGAAAATTGCATTGCGCAAGTTGGTTGCTGGTATTTTGTGCGTTTGTGTGGTGCTGCTGGTGTTGGTGGTGAAGTGAGTTTCAAAAAACAATCCAAACACATCCATATTCGAACTGCATTTCCACCACCAGAATTCACAAAGAAAACAGACAAGTTTTAAAGTACCAGCCAACCTTATTGAAAACTTTGACCAACATAATCTACTGTATGTGTCTCTTTCAGCATGTTGGAAAACAGGACAGAACCCACGCAAGAACAAACATGGTGAAAATTGCATTGCGCAAGTTGTTTGCTGGCATTTTGTGCGGTTGTGTGGTGCTGCTGGTGTTGGTGGTGAAGTGAGTGATGAAAAAAAACAATCCAAACACATCCATATTCGAACTGCATTTTCCACCACCAGAATTTACAAAGAAAACAAACAAGTTTTACCGTACCAACCAACCTTATTGAAAACTTTGACCAACATAATCTACTGTATGTGTCTCTTTCAGCATGTTGGAAAACAGGACAGAACCCATGCAAGAACAAACATGGTGAAAATTGCATTGCGCAAGTTGTTTGCTGGTATTTTGTGCGGTTGTGTGGTGCTGCTGATGTTGGTTGCGAAGTGAGTGAGGGAAAAAAACCATCCAAACCTATCCATATTCTAACTGCACTTTTCACCACCAGAGTTCACAAAGAAAACAAACAAGTTTTACCGTACCAACCAACCTCGGGAAAACTTTGGCCAACATAATCTGCTGTATGTGTCTCTTTCAGCATGTTGGAAAACAGGACAGAACCCATGCAAGAACAAGCATGGTGAAAATTGCATTGCGCAAGTTGTTTGCTGGTATTTTGTGCGTTTGTGTGGTGCTGCTGGTGTTGGTGGTGAAGTGAGTGATGGAAAAAAAACATCCAAACCTATCCATATTATAACTGCACTTTTCACCACCAGAATTCACAAAGAAAACAAACAAATTTTACCGTACCAACCGACCTCGGGAAAACTTTGGCCAACACAATCTACTGCATGTGTCTCTTTCAGCATGTTGGAAAACGGGACAGAACCCACGCAAGAACAAACATGGTGAAAATTGCATTGCGCAAGTTGTTTGCTGGCATTTTGTGCGGTTGTGTGGTGCTGCTGGTGTTGGTGGTGAAGTGAGTGATGAAAAAAAACAATCCAAACACATCCATATTCGAACTGCATTTTCCACCACCAGAATTTACAAAGAAAACAAACAAGTTTTACCGTACCAACCAACCTTATTGAAAACTTTGACCAACATAATCTACTGTATGTGTCTCTTTCAGCATGTTGGAAAACAGGACAGAACCCATGCAAGAACAAACATGGTGAAAATTGCATTGCGCAAGTTGTTTGCTGGTATTTTGTGCGGTTGTGTGGTGCTGCTGGTGTTGGTTGCGAAGTGAGTGAGGGAAAAAACCATCCAAACCTATCCATATTCTAACTGCACTTTTCACCACCAGAGTTCACAAAGAAAACAAACAAGTTTTACCGTACCAACCGACCTCGGGAAAACTTTGGCCAACATAATCTGCTGCATGTGTCTCTTTCAGCATTTTGGAAAACAGGACAGAACCCATACAAGAACAAACATGGTGAAAATTGCATTGCGCAAGTTGTTTGCTGGCATTTTGTGCGGTTGTGTGGTGCTGGTGTTGGTGGTGAAGTGAGTTTCAAAAAACAATCCAAACACATCCATATTCGAACTGCATTTCCACCACCAGAATTCACAAAGAAAACAGACAAGTTTTAAAGTACCAGCCAACCTTATTGAAAACTTTGACCAACATAATCTACTGTATGTGTCTCTTTCAGCATGTTGGAAAACAGGACAGAACCCATGCAAGAACACACATGGTGAAGATTGCATTGCGCAAGTTGTTTGCTGGTATTTTGTGCGGTTGTGTGGTGCTGCTGGTGTTGGTTGCGAAGTGAGTGATGAAAAAAAAAAATCCAAACCTATCCATATTCTAACTGCACTTTTCACCACCGGAATTCACAAAGAGTACAAACAAGTTTTACCGTATCGACCGACCTCGTGAAAGCCTTGACCAACATCGTCTACTGTACGCGTTTCTGTCACCACGTTCGAAAACAGGACAGGATCCATGCAAGAACAAATATGGTCAAAACTGCATTGCGCAAGTTGTTTGCTGGCATTTTGTGCGGTTGTGTGGTGCTGCTTGTTTGGTTGCGAAGTGAGTGAGGGAAAAAAACCATCCAAACCTATCCATATTCTAACTGCACTTTTCACCACAAGAGTTCACAAAGAAAACAAACAAGTTTTAAAGTACCAGCCAACCTCGGGAAAACTTGTATCTGTGAGCTAAAAAAAACATATTCTATCTCCTGGTCTGCTTGAGTAATCTATATGTATGATAAGTGCAAATTATTGCAACTATGTGTTAGTTTATCATGTTGGAGGTGCGATTCTTGGATTTGGGTTTGGAGTCTAGACAATTGGATGATCAATTGTTTTGGGTATGTATGATTCATAATGCTCATATTCTAACTGCACTTGTGCCATATTCTAACTCCAGATGCGTTGGCTTTTAGAACAGTGTCCGTAGACCGTATTCTATCTCTGGTAAAAGATTTTTCATATTCTAAGTGCCTGTCCCTCACAGTATGTTTGTTGGTTTATAAACCCCATGAATACCATAGTTATCTATAGTTATATCTACCATAAACCATAGAATTCAGCCAGTTATAAACCAACTGAACGCTATCTTGGGGGCCCATCCTGCATCATCATCCTTCTTAAAATGAAGGATCCGCAAGTCATCATAGTTTTCAATACAAAGTCTTGGTCATCCTTGACTTGGATGATTTGGGGGTGCCCCATGACTTAGGAAACCTCCAGACAATCATAGTTGATCCATCCATTTACCAACTATAGTTCGAATCAACTAGGGTGACAAATAGGAAAATCAACTATAATCAACTTCATTGTCAGACACCTCCATTGAAATCCAAAGACTTTATCAGCGAACGAAGCCGCCTCCGACTGGGGCGAGTCGACCCGCCCCACGCGCATGGTCTCACTGGTGGCCTCGCGGCAATTTCATGGGGGGTTGACATGATTTCACTGGAGATTCTACGCTAATCTTTTGATACTGGGACTATTCGCCAGCCAACTTTTGTTTATCTAAGATTGGGTGTGGAAAGAGGAAAAACTCCGCTGAAACGAGGACATACTAGACATAGTATGGCTACTTGAAGCTTTTGAACTGATGCAAAGATAGGGATCCTCCAGCCATGTTGGATCACCAAAGGGTAGCTAGCTGGAGGGGAACCCTCCTGTCGACATGAAATCTGGTGCGATATTCATGGAAGTCGGAACCCAAGAAATTTTGGTCAAAATGATTTGCCTGGGCTCTTTTTCTGTCTGAATCATTCTGCGTCCCTTTTTCCCAGCTTGCTTGAAGTTGACTTTCGGTTTTCGGGATTTCTTATGTTTATGTATATACCCACATTCCATCTTCCATTTCCGATGGAATGCGCCTGAGATCACCTGAGTATGTCAATCGAAAATCATTGAAGCCACAATAAAAGAGAGAAGTCCTGTTGCGAGCCATGTCGTGAATCTGTGAGGTCAATCAACTGCGTATCAACCTCGATTCACAGCTTAGCAAGTTCCCCAACTGGTGCGACTGGATGCGGATATCTAAGCAGGGAAACCCTTGGACCTTGCTGCCCCTCTGGCAATCTTTTCCAGCGAAAATGCCTCATCTGCATATTTTGTTCTCAGAAAACGATCCATATTTGTGGGTAGAGAACTTAAGTAACTCGCAATCCTCCAAAAATCAGGCATGGTATCTCGAAAAAACAACCTGCTTGGTGGTTGACCTACCCCTCTGAAAAATATGAAAGTCAGTTGGGGTTACTATTCTCAATATATGGAAAAGTAAAATTCATGTTCCAGTCACCACCAACCAGCAACATATATAACCCCGTGATCCGACCTATCTTTTTCAGTTTCGGTGTCTGTTTCGGATGATGCCAACAGTTAAACTCCACAGTTTCACATGGTATCCGTCAACACATGCTATTCATGGCCTATGGTCATCCCCGAAAGCGAGGGGATTTGTCGTGACCTGGCCATCCCCATGCAGCCTCTGGTTTTTCTCAAGCGTTTGCTAAGGCAAATCACATTTTTGGGCAACTCACTGCCATGGGAATGTCAGGATCCTAAATTGGAGCTACCTACCAGATACAAGGCCTGAAATTCCCATTGAAATCATATCATCTACGACAATCTACGAATCTACTGGGCCATTTTCCATCATTTGCCATAGCTCTGTGAGTTACTGAAGTTACTAAGTTACTGAAGGGTACCCTCTGGTAATTTAACATAGCTATTGGAAATTGCCCATTATAGTAGATTTTCCCATTAAAAATGGTGATTTTCAATAGCTATGTTAGTTTACCAGAGGGTACTCCAACTTTTGACCATGGCGCCCTTTATCGGATACTTCGCCAAGCCATCCAAGTTCGACCCTTGGCCCGGCCAATTCGCACCTCACGATCTTCTTGAATGTTCCTCAGTGGGTGCCAGGACTGCCCATTGTCCCCATGACTGGGGACCCAAAATTACGCAATCCAATGAGATCCCAATAAGGTTTCCAGGAGGTACCCTCTGCTAAACTAACATAACTATGGAAAATCACCATGTTCAATGGGTAAATCACCTATAAATGGGCATTTTCAATAGCTATGTTAAATTACCAGAGGGTATTGACTATCACTGGACGGCTAAGGGAAAACTCTGTGCCGCACCTTTTTCGATCCAAGAACAAAGAAATTTGTTGAGAAAATTCCATGGCAGAATCATATGCAACACCCAAAGCATGTTTTGAAGTATGGAACCGAATCGAGCATCCCGAAGAGTTTTTCAGTAAAACCCTGGCGCTGGATCTTCAATGTCCATAGACACAAGTTGACTGGAAAGGACCCTTTTTGTGCGCATCTTTTTGTGCGAAAAAAAATGAGGGTGATGAAGAACATTGTCAGACCCACCTAAGGTGGACATGGTAGCTGGCTGGTGGTTGAGCCTACCCCTCTGAAAAGTATGAGTTCGTCAGTTGGGATGTTGACATTCCCAAATATTCCCAATTAATATGGAAAGTCATAAAATTCATGTTCCAAACCACCAACCAGGTAGGTTAAGTGATTCCCAGTATATCCCAACAACAGCCCATTCATCGAAGATCATCGAAGTTTCGGCAGCCATGCCCCCGGTGCATCACTTGACTCACCGAGTCCTCTGGCATCTGTCATCCATGGCGGATTGGTCGCCTTCGTGTGTCGCCCAGTGTAGGCTTTGCGATTCTTTGACTTGAACAACCCCATGGCCAACTTCTGAAAGCGCACGCATGCCCGCTCCGGTTCCAACTGTCGTCTTCCAAGCCCCTCCTGTGGTCGAATTGCTGGCGACAGTGATCATGTTTATTCTGTTTATTGATTCACCATGTCACCTTTCCTGGTTTAGCCAACTCCCCGTAAGAATTTGGATACTTATGGATAGTTGAAGCCTCATAATTCAAATGACGAAATCCCAAGTGTTGATGCCTTCCCTGGATGAAAATAACAATACTGGTTGGTGGTATACCATGGTTAATATACTGTTAATGGTGGTTAATGATGATGGTTATTATATGGTTAATGATGATTGATAACAATACTGCTTGGTGGTTGAGCCTACCCCTCTGAAAAATATGAGTCCGTCAGTTGGGATGATGACATTCCCAACTGAATGGGAAGTCATTCAAAATTCCATGGTTCCAGTCACCACCAACCAGAACTCTGTTGATTAATAGAGGCTAGTCCCTAGGAGATGCGATGGAACATGGAACCATGGGACCCTCTTGATAGAAATCCTGGCTTCACATTACCTGATCCATGCTCAGACCCGCTATAGGACTCATTCGAGCTGGAGGTATTCCCGATTTCTCAGATTTCCGAAGCATGGAGCCAATGGAGCCGAATATTTCTCCAACCAAAATTCTGGGATATGATGGATATGTATTGCCCCATTCTATCTCAATGAGATATCGCAGCGAATCCCTATTTCAAATGGTTACTCTTAGCCATATGGAAATCCACAGCCCCGTTCGGAAATGGACACATGGTAGATGTTCCATATCTATGTTAGTTAACTGGAGGGTAAAGCCACTAACCACTGGCAATCAAACGTGGCAATAGAAAACCCTGCATTTATTATCATTGATGATCATTTATCAAATAGAAAACCCTGCATTTATTTGTTCTCATTTAAATCTCCAATTTAGAGTCCACGTTTGGTGCTCAAACCCGGTCACCATCAATCACCATGAAGTCGCCATGAATCTTCCCATTTACCTACCATTTGGGGTTAATGTCAACCCCGGATTAATATTGGGTTAATATAGTTTATTTTCATGTTATTATATTATTAACCCATAGTTAGTTAGTTGACATAGTTAATATAAAATGGGTACTTCCCCAATATTCATATTCTGATGAGTGAGTAATTAAACCATCTATTCCAATATTCACCCATTTTCCCATGAGTTTTTCTTCTATGAAATCACCATATTTTCCCAAGGGTTTTCCCATGCTTTTCCTATGGTTACCCTCTGGTAATTTATCAGTTTGCTATTGAAAATGGCCATAGAAATAGTGAGTTTTCCCATGAAAAATGGTGATTTTCCATAGTTACGTGACAGTTTACCAAAGGGTAAATGGTACCCTTCACCCCGCACCCACTGCTGCCATGTCGCTGCAAGGCGCTCGAGGGGCACGTCTTGGTCCGTTGCTTCCGCCGCGCGTGGCGTCGCGTGGCACCCTCCGCCTGGCCGCTGTTGGTTTCGGCGGCGTGCCGCGGAGGCCGTTGGGATGTTAAGGTGACGTGGGAAAAACCATGGGAAAACCATGGGAAAATGGGAAAAATCTGGATTTCATGGGGAAAACCATGGGAAAAGCCATGGAAAATGCAGGCTATCCTCAACCATGGTTCCATCTTGAGAAATATGTTCAGTTGGGATCCTTTTCCCCCAATGATCTACATGGAGGTTTCCATAGTCATGGGGGGTACCCCAATAGATGGATGGTGATGGAAGTTCCTATCAACATATTTGATTTAGGGGTACCCATATTTGGGAAACCTCCACATGTCTGGTGGCTTTTCATATCTATGTTGGTTTATTGAAGGGCGCTTATACCCCTAAGACTTCGATTTGCTGATGTTACCCCCATGTAGGTAGGGTGGTAAATTTGCATTATGGACGGATATATTTCACCATAGCTATAGGGGGCCCATATCCCAACTTACAGGGGTTAAAATCTCATCTTATACCCATGGAAAACAGGACAACAACCCTAGTGAACACTAAAGTACCATCAAATCCCTCCCCTTGGTCGGTTCACCATTTTTCCCATCAAATCCTCTATAAAATCACCATAAAAACACCAATTTACCCTCTGGTGAACTAACATAGCAATGGAAAATGGCTATTTATAGTGGATTTTCCCATTAAGAATGGTGGATCTTTCCATTGCTATGTTAGTTCACCAGAGGGTACTTGGATTTGCTTGAAGGACGCTATATACACCATAGTCCCACAAACGCTTCCAAGTTTGGGGATGATCAAAAACATTACCGACTCAGCAAGTACAAGAATGTTAAGTCATACCCTCTGCTTATGTCATAATAGCTATTGAAAATAGTCATTTAAAGTAGATTTACCCATTCAGAATGGTGATTTTCAATAGTCATGTTAGTTTACCAGAGGGTAATCCCATTCATATTTAATTCGCGTATTAAAATCCACTACAGCAATATCCTATGAACATATCAGTTTTGCATTAAGTTTAGCAGTCCAGCCATAAAAACCTCCATTTACAGGGTGATTGTACCATATTTTCCCATGGTTTTCCGAGGATTGTGGAGGAACCAAAATATATCATTAATATTCCATTGATGTCCCATTAATATTCCATAACATAATATCCCATAAAACCCCCATGACATCCACAGCACCCATAGTTCTTCATCCCTATTTGCTCGTGAATCCT